TCCGATTGACCGGTTACCGATCGCTTTCGGTCGATAATCGCTTTGGGTAGTTTGATTGGTAGTTTCTATAAAGGCCGATCTCATAAACCGATCTCATGCTGCCGTGAGAGCTATATGGCATGACATGCAGCGGCACTGTCTCAATCTCTGTCCGCGGCGGGTAAAATAATTCTTATGTTGAATGTGAAGTACAATATATCTTTATGAAATAACTTACGCCTCACTCACAGAAAATGACTTTGTAATTTCACAGACAGCGTGCTCTCTCTTTCCCTCTCCAAAATGTCTTCACGTCACCACATCACGTCTGCACTATAAGCGAGCTGCACAGTTGACACAGGAATTGCCACTTGCACAATCAAGGCAGTGTCGCATCGTCGCTGAAGTTTATAATTTGCATTATTATAATCTTGCCAGTGTTTAAAGGGACACTTCACCCATTTCCATTAAGCTTTGTATCGTTAGAAACCCAGTCATATTTTTGAATGGTCGTGTATTATTCCCTCATTTTTCCCTGAGACGGGAGAAATAAGGATTTCAGTGTTGCAGTTCCTGCTTATAATGATGTAAAAATCGTCATTTTGCATCATTCTAAGCAGGAAGTCCCATATCTTGGTTGAGGGATTGAGACTACAAACACTCGTTCCTTATTTTCCCAGGGGATTTCGAAAGTCTGATGCTTCAAGAACCAGGGCTCCAGACTAACTTTTTGCCTTGGTTGCACTAGTGTGCCTAACTTTTTTATTTAGGTGCTCTAAAATTTTTCCTCGTCTCGCGTCGCCTTTAACGCCACAATTTTAAGGTCATCTTCTTATCACGCTCCATATAGATTCATATATATTATGTAAATGCTTTTAAACAAGAATAAGAATAATAAGGTGTTTTTTTTTTTTTTTAAGCACAATTATACTGTATATAAAAATATAAATCTTAAAAAAAATAATAATAATTAAAGTGCTGTTTTTACATTGTTCAAGTTAGGGCAGGGTATTGACACAAATTTCACAATTCGATTCAATATTGATTATTTTAGATATCAGGTACAATACATGGCAAATTTTCTCAAGGAAAACAAATCTCTTAACTAATGCTGTAAATTGGGAGTCAGTTGTAGCCCACTATGCTTCATTAGCCTACTATAATATTGAAGGTAAAAATTACCTGATTTGTACACAAACAATTAAATTACACTTTTATTTATTTTTATAATAATAAAGTTTTATGAAATATAAACATTTAAATGGTGGTTGCATAAAAACTTGCCAGATTTTTTCAAACAAGAAACAACATGCATTAAATATTGAAAAACATTAAAAATTATAATGAAAATGCAATATGGTGCATATATTTGGCAAAATGCTCCTCCCTAGAGTTAACTTTTCTAGCTAGCTAATGAGTTTATGGTCACTGGATGTTTTTTCTGAGGTAAGTTAAATGTGACGTTACATTACATTGTTTACAAGCGTTTTACTGACGTCTTTCCACGGTTGAAACACTGATTGAGCGATTCCATGTGACATGATACGGATTTCGATAAGTTGTACTCTATCTTTTAGCACACTTTCAGATGCTCTTTCATGTTTATTTGGCGCTGTAACTGGTATTATTAAGACGGAAGAGAAGATCATGTGCGCGCCGCGCTGCTGCTTCTCTTGAGTTGAGCTGACCCAGAGCGATCTCACGCCACAGCGTCGACTCAACACACTATTTATGTTTTTGAATTTCATAAGAAAATGGACCTAATTTGAAATCTGAGACTTTGTTTCATATCAATAGTAACACAGCACAAAGATGATTGCGATTTATTGGATGGGATGCTCGCTACAATGTTCCATTCATTCATCAACTGAAAACAGCATAGCCCAACCGTTTCGTAAAAATGAGAATCGATTAAAATCGAGAAATCAATATTTTACACCTAGCCCTAGTTCAAGTAGCCTACATTTTTAAAAGTTTCTTCGTCGTCTGTTTTCTTGCATTTATTTAGGTGATGCTGCTGATTGCCGTAACTGATTCTCTGGTGCTCACGTCGCAATTTATTTCAATCACAAAGACAGCACAGAGCATTTTCAGCACGGAGCATAACCACAGCCAATCAGAGGCAAAGACCCGCCCAATCTCTATCTCTGATTGGTTTAGACCACGATATGATCCAACCATGCGTGCAAGGAGAACAAAAGACTCGTTTGTGGAGAGGCAACCCTATGGAGGCAACGGATGCGATCATGCGAGGATTGCGAGAACGACCTAGGAAAAAATTTAGTCGCACCCTTTTGGTCGCACTCCAGAGCCCTGAGAAGGCACCAAATTTGAAATTTATTTTACATTTCGACTACATATATGGCCCACTTAAGACTCACAAACAGCTCACCAGCACCAAATTGTGCTTAAATGGTCAAATACACACAAATGTATACAAAATTACCGCCTTGACGAGTATGCACGTAAACAGTTGAGGAAGTTGTGTAACAGTGTATTGGACCTGCACAGCTCTTAAAGTCACAGCATCCTGCTTTTTGCCTGATTTCTTTTTTAACATTATTGACACTCACTGCTCTTGAATGACTAACTTTTGTAACTTTAATTGTAAGGATTAATCTGTATTTAATTTACTCAGGGAAGACCACCCAGTATTATTTTACATTTTATTCCTTATTAAATTTCTTTAGTATTTTTACTTATGTTAAACCTACCTGAAAAAAAAAAAAACTTAAAGTGTTTATTTTATTTGTATCTTTATTTACGTGTTCTACTACTTGTAAATTGATTATTTGTTCTTATTTTATCACTGACTGTTTACTTGTCTTTTTTTGTGAGTTCAGTTGAAATCAATTGTAAAAACAAAAATCCAGGCCCTGAATTAATGTCTATAAAAAGATTGGCTCCAAAAAAGAAAAAAAATCAAATAGTTCAGTTAGAAAACAGACATTAGAATTAAAAACTGAACGCGTCTGCTCAATTCAGCGAGAGACGAACAGAGTCCCGTGCTTGTTCGTTTTAAAAGGTCTATGACTTGTCAAAAAAGTGACCAATGAGTTAAAATGAAGGCACCACCAACCAGTAACTTTTTGATAATAGTATTTTAATACAAAAACCCAAACAGTTCTCTTTAATATTTCATATACATACATTATATATGTTAATTTTCTATATGTTGTACAGAACTTAAAAAAAATCTGGATGAAAAAAAAAGTACAATTTCTAACGCATGACCCTTTCATATCTGAGGGGGGAACAAATCCGTTTTCTGATTTTGATGCACTGAAAAAGATACCCACATTCAAGAGCAATCATTTCATTAAAAAAATCAGAAGAAAATGAACTATTCAATAATCAAACCTGCCAATAGAAGTTCTGGAATATTTCTACAAAACCAATTCGGAATAGCGACTTCCAAATGAACACATGGAGAAACGAAGCCCAACAGCAAAACATGGACAGTCCAGATTAAGCATTATAGGTTTCTTCTTTTCTACATTAAAACACAACATTATGATAACAATACTTAGGATAGCAATAAAGATGGCTTAGGACGACACAGATTATTGCTTGATTTAAATCTTTTTCATTGCATTTACAAAGACAGGCCTGAGTGAAACACAGGCCAAACACACGGTCAGACAGAAACGCGTCTGTCCATTTAAAGCTGCAGAACATCTGAGGAGTTTTACTGCACCAGCGTCTGTTATACTGCACCAACAGGACTTTTAAATGCTCAATTTGAATTGAGGTAGCAAACAGGATGCAGAATAGTAAGGTACATTTAGAGAAGTAACATTTAAAATGCAATACAATTTCAAGTAGTTGGATGTATTACCTATAAACATCATACACACAAAGTATTTCCACATTAGTTTATATTAAAAATCAATGTTTATAGAGGATATTTGGGTTTAAAGGGATAGTTCACCCAAAAAAAAATAGTTTACTCACCCTCATGTTGTTCCAAACCTGAATTTGTTGAACACAAAAGATATTTTGAGGAATGTTTCTGGTCTCAAATGACTTGCATATATATGCAAATGAGGTCCATCAACTGTCTGGTCACCCAGACTGATCTCATGAAATGGCGTATGTATGACACGCAAATTCGTATTTCTATTTTTGGCGTGCTATCAACACGCATAATCGCTTTTCAGCGTGTTTATCAACGCCGTTGACTTAACGTTACATTACTGTATATATAAATATATGACCTACCCCAACCCCGTCCCTAAACCTACCCGTCACTGGGGTTAATACCATTTATGAGTCTTCCCCTACCATCCTAGGAAAAAAAATATTGCTCCACAGATGTAAATATACATTTTGCTTCGTTTCGCTTGGACATTTAACAGCGTGTACATACACGCGGAATCACTCGGACCCTTAACGGCGTACACATACACACAAAAGATGACGGTTCGTTTTGCCGTGGACACACACGCGGATAGCTCAAAATGCGTATAGACAGAGGCGGCTCCAGACTGCGCTCAGCAGGGGGGCATTTATTTTCAATGGGTGGGCACTAGGTATGGGGACTTTTTTGGATATCAGATATCCTATATATATTATTGCTACTGCCTTTTCTGTTAGCTATTACCATGAAGTGATGCAACCCATACAATAAACACAATTAAACCATTACACATTGTTGCAAGACTCTTAAGAAATTTGATTAAATAAGGGTTAAATAGGCCTATACAAAAAAATAGCAAGACTGACCAACAGCACCACACTGTGGTTTTATGTTGGCTTTATTATATTTTCAGCTAATGGGCAGTTTGTAGACATATATTTTTATTATTTGAATTAAATTAAACTGATATTAGTTTGTAAATTATATCATAATTCAATTTCCTAATGCCCCCCCCATACCGCCGGCACTGCGTATAGCTAACACGCCACTTGACTTGAAAGTGGCGTGTATGTTTACGCAAAGTCATGATGTCATGGTTGGGTCACCAACATTCTTCAAAATATCTTCTTTTGTGTTCAGCAGTAGAAAGAAACTCATAAAGGTGAGTAAATGCCAGCCTTTAATGTGCAAAATTCCAATTCAGTAAAAATTGATTGAGGCTAATCTTCCTGTGTTTCCAATTCAACATCCTGTCAGGCCAATTCAATTCAAATTCCAAGTCATCAACTGAAAGGGAGCCTGTTCTTCAAAAAAGCAGCTCTTAAAAACGAGAAGAAGAAAAACAAAAACATGCTTCTGCTTTACAGACAACAACGAACCCGACCAACACATCTGATCTGGACGTATTTCTGAACGACTTACTGACACATTTTAACATCGGGATCAAAATGTCACATGGCATTAGAAAAGAGGCAGTGCAATCGGTACACAATCACAGTCAGAGACAGACAGACGAGACTGCCTTTGTGCGCGCGTGTGTGTGTGTGTGTGTGTTTATAGGGCAAACTAACCCTCCTCGTTGCCAACAAAAAATCAAAGTATGTGCGTGTACGGCAGAGACAGTGTGGGACCGCTTGTGCTAGAGGTGTGCAAGTGTGCGTGGTTTCAAAGTGAACACGTTTCAACAACGCCCGTCTGTCTGTCTGTGCGCTACGCCGTTTCTGTCTCCCTCCTGCATCCTCACATTATGGCTTATAACTTCCATTCTCACAACACATCCGTCTCTTTCGCTAGATCCCCCTGTGCCTCCATTCTGTCCGACCCTGCTCTCCGTTTGGTTAAAAGAGTAAGAAATGGCACATAAGAGAGCAACAGTGAGTGAAGGAACTGACAGAGAAAAGCGGGATCACTCGGGGAAGGGAGGAAACATGGGCATCTCTCCAAAGTCATCGTTCCCGAAGCTGCCGGTCTGATCCAATATGGAGAGAACATCCTGAAGGAGAGAAAGAGAGAGGGGTGTTAAAGGAATAAACCATACAGAATGACAATCCCCTCATCATTTACTCGTGGTCCAAACATGCATGATTTTATTTTGTCAGTGGAACACAAAAGATGACGTTTAGCAGAATGTTCATGCTGCTCTTACACAAACAATGAAAGTCAATGGGGATCGGTGCCACTGAGCTTCAAAAATGACAAAAACAGCACTAAAGTATCATAACAGTATTTCATATGACTTGTGTGATATAGTTAGGCTTTTTAAGAGCTGCACAAATTAAATGGATAATGTAAAGGACCACTCACGATAACTTTAACGATAAAGGTAGTTTTAAAATCATTCTAAATGTAAAACAATAGACGAGTCCACAACTATGAAACAGAGGAACCATTACCAACAATTTTTTCCAGCTGATGAACAATAAAAACATTGAGAGCCAATCAGAATAGCAGATGAGAAAAGTGCAGCATGCTTAGAATAAACGTCAACATTGTCCACGGGTGTGGACGCTAATATAGTAATTCGTTTTGTTTATAGTTATCGTCCTTGGAGTAAACGGGTCTTAAATCTCAAAATAAACCATTAATCTTATATTTTATATAAACAGGCTGCAGCACACATTCAACTGCAAAAATGGCTAACAGCAAAAATTTCAATACATGTTTTATTCTATGTAAAGAAATTGGTTCATGTACCAATAGAGGGAATGCATTGATGTCACGTGTCCCACGTGAACACGCCCCCTCAGCTGGACTGAGTGGCAAAAGAGCTGCTGCGTGACTAGATTTAATAGGGGAAACTGCGGAAACGAGAGTAAAACAAACGATGTTTGGACTCGATATAAGTGTTCCTTACAATTTAGGCCTACCAAAGATCCAGTGATCCACATTGACACGCAGCCATTGTGTTTCCTGACATTTGTGTGCCGGATTTCGACGCCGGGGAAATACGTGAAGCAAATTTGCCTGTGAACGCTTTATATAAATACAATATAGGTAGGTCTAAATCCAGGTGATCACTCATATCAATGTTATATATAGGCTATAATCATATCGTCCAGCCCTAAAACTTGTAGCCTATAGTTTTTTTTTGTCATGACAACGCATGTGGTCATGTAAACACGGGAAACCCGTTTTCTTTTACACTGGTAGTTTTTTGCCTCTTACTCGGATTTCGCATTATGTAAACGCATTAACCTGCTTTCTGCTTTTTTTTCTCATCTCGTGCAGCAGAAGTAGAAGTGGTTCAGTCAAAACGCTGCATCTGTAACTGCATGACATGAGAGAATATACGAGCTGTAAGTTTCCCGCTGACATGTTGCAAGCTTTATTTAACATCAACCGACAAAACAAATGAAGTCAGATACGCAAATGATTGTTTTGTCGTCACACGGTCATGGCCTGATTTATTAATAAAGTCATGTAAACACGGTTTACTTGTGTTGTCATGGTTACTGGTTTGCATGTAAACGGGAAACTGGTTATTTCAATAAGCTGATTTATGTGAGTTATCATCTTACTGGTGTGCATGTAAACGTGCTCAATGATAACTGCAAATCCACTTTTCTCTGGAGTCAAGTTGATTCTATGAATTGCATCGATCCATTTGCTTCTCTGTTCTGTAGCTTTTGGCAGTCTGTAAAAATATACCTCAGATTTCTTGTGAAATGTAGTTGTACAGTCAACCGCAAAGCTCTTTCCCATTTTAGATGTGTTTTTTGTGTTTTTCACGGCATTCACGCTGAAAACCAATGCTGCCGCTCAGTCTTTTTGCCACTCGAGTGGGCGTGACCGCAATCACTCCAGCTGACGGTGACGTCATACGCATTCCCTCTATATATACCACCTCCTGAAAAGCAGTGTGCTCTGATAGGTCGGCTGAACCAGTGGGTTGTGATTGGTCAACCGCTATTTCTCATTAAAATAATTCCTGCCGAGGCCATACACAAAGTAAGGGGGCGGGGCCTGGTTGAGTGAGTTAGTAGTGTGTGAAACTCGTTATGATAAGGGCCTTAACATCTCTCCAAACACACACACACAGCGATTGACCAATCAAAATACACTGGTCCAGCTGACCAATCAGAGCACAGTGTGCTTTTCAGAAGAAGGGGCTTCATATGGCGCTTTTCCACTGCATGGAACGGTACGGTTCGGTTCGGTACGGCACGCTTTGGCGCTTTTCCACTGCATGGTTCGGCTCGCTTTAAATGGTACCTGCTCTGTTGAGGTTCCAAGCGTACCGTACCGATACTAAATGTGACGTGAAAACACTACAGATCACTGATTGGTCAGACAGACAGAATCGTCACTATCAGCGTCATTGTATTTGCGACACGAGACACTAAACCCACTAGATTTAAATAGCCAGTAGACAACAGCCACCGCTGTAGCACCTGTTTTAAAACTACTTGCTTGACTTGCTTAAAGAGAAAAGGAAAAAAAGAAAACTTCCATAAAAAAAGAAATGGCTGAATCGTGGTCAGTGGACGAAGTGCAGACGTTCGTCTCGTTGGTTGCCGAGGAGCGGATAAACTATAACGGTCAGTCTATAATCCCACACACTTTGAAGCGGTACTAACTGCAGTGGAAAAGCAAACCGAGCTAAAGCGAACCGAGCCGTGCCGTGCCGAGCCGAGTCGTACCAGCAGTGGAAAAGCGAAGCGAGCCGAACCATGTCGCGCCGAGCCGAACCGTACTGAGCCGTACCAGCAGTGGAAAAGTGCCAAAAGAGACAGGACTGACTGGGAAGAGAGGAGCTGCAACATTGTCAAATATGTGATTTCTTTTTTTTCATTCAAGCATGAAAACCTATTCAAGTAGAGCCTAAAAACAAAAGACTGAAAAAAGGCATAATAGTTCCCCTTTAAAGAAAGACAGATTATTGTGCGTATACTAGTAAAATCTTTTCTTTTTTTTAAAAGATTTTATGCATAATGCAGGTCTTTTAATTATAAACAATAAGTCTTTTTGTGACCTTAAATTTTATAAACCTTAAGACCTGGGAACCCTGGCTAAGTCATGTGACAGCCCCCCTGCTTCAGTGTTTTTTGTTTCTGACAACAAACCTGCCGCATATTTGCATGCAATGTTTGAATATGTCCAAGTGTGAATGAGAGCTGTGGCGTACAGGTAAAGCATACAGTAAATAATTAAACTTAGGTCTGTTCCTCACTCACTGGAAACATCTCTGGCTGGTGGTTTTGCGGGTGTGTGTCTGCAGTGCCTTGCGTGTGTGGCTGGTTTTGCCACTGCTGCCACCCTGTAACTCCCTCTACTGGCCTGGAGCTGAACTGCGCTGCCATCTGACTGACGTCACCTAAATGAAAGAGCAAAACTGAGAGCTGGAACAGGCACAACGGTTCATTTTTATAAATATGCTGCAAAATATGTACCATATCCATTAGTTGAGGGGTTGGTGTGATTGTTTATTTGTTGGTAACTTGATGCGTTTGCCATTGAAGCAGAAGCTCCGCCCATCTGGCCAAAGGAAGTGGAAGATGTTGGGGCGGAGCTGAAACCACCCATGTTAAACTGAGATGACGGACTTTTCCCAACTTGACCTGCCACCTGCTGGACAAAGAGAGTATTTACATAGAAATGGGATTTAACACTGTAGTAAAGTGAAGGAATCAATTATATACATTACCAGTCAAAAGTTTGGAATAATAATTTTTTTTATTGTTTTTGACCAAGCATAAAACACAGTAAACGGTCAAAAATACAGTAAACTGACACAAAAAAACATGCTCTCCCTATAGCAGTGGTTGTCAAACTCTTTTGGTCGTGCCTTCCCTTTAAACATTTTTTAAAAATCTGCCGCTAATAAAAACAAAGATTTTTAAAAAATGTAAAAACGAGCAATGAAAAACACCTGCAGTAGTTTCACTTTGTAATGTCATTGATATCACATTAAGAGAAAATGGAAGATCAGAACTTTTAATTGAATTAAACAAAAACATTTAAACATTTCAGTGATAATGCCCTCTTGATCATTTTCTCACTTTAGGTGCAGGCCAGAAACATCTAATTTCAGTTATTTACAACTTAATAAGTACACTTAATGTAGACCCTACCGTTTCTCTGAGAGAGTTGTGGGAGAATGACCTGGGTGTTTCTATTACCGATGATCAATGGGACGAAATTCTAAGATTAGTCCATTGCTCTTCCATTTGTGCCAGACATGGCCTATTGCAAGGTGCTCCACCGAGCTCATCTAACTAATGCCAGATTGGCAAAAAAATTACCCAGATGTGAGTGATGCTTGTCATTAGGGATGGGACGATTACCGGTTTCACGATAAACCACGATAAAATGTCCTGGCGGTTAGTATTATCGTTTAAAATTTAATTATCATAAAAACCGTGTTTGATTATCGTGATTTTGAAAACTCGCGGTAAATCCTGTCCAGCCAGAATCAGTCTGACGCAGGCGCGACGCGAGCAGGCGCGCAGATGCAATGTTGTTTTTTTTGCGCGAGAAGACATGGCGGAAGGCAGTGACAGCGCACGGGAGATTTTTCAGCCATCCAAGAGGACAAAATCGGAGGTATGGTCGTATTTTGGCTATTACAAGAGTCCCGAGGGCAATTTAATCGAGGATGGGCACCCTGTCTGCAAATCTTGCAAGAGGAAAGTCGCTGCAAAAGGGGGAAACACGTCAAATCTGCTAAGTCATCTAACGTTACGTGACAACCGCCCACTGAGTTAATTTTTACCTTAATAGCACAACTAACTTGGGCAAATAATTAGACAAAAAATTTATTGGGGATGAATTATTTCATTATCTCACTTGTAATTATTGCAAAGCTTCCGCGAAGAGAAAAGTTTTACAGCAAGTGGATTTGAGCCAAGACGAACGAACATATTCAAACTATTAAGGGTGACATTTAAGGCATAATGTATTGTATTCATTCATAGTAAACTTATTACAGTTTTATTTTTTACCACAGAAATAATTTCAGGGACATGAAAATATTGAATTGTGATTAACTTAATGTTTTTAAATCTTGCCGGTTTATAAATCCATTATACAAGTTACAGCTTGTCCAAATCAATCGTAAAGTAAATGTGATCACTTCAACAATATTTTAGTAGTATTAATACTAAATTACTCTGATTTAATTTTCAATACAATCAAAACTGAGACGCAAGACATACACATTTGAATGAAACCAGAGATTGCGTCCACGGTGATCCGAGACATGGATGTGCGCTGTGTAGTGCGTTGCTATGTACAATAGTCATTATAAGTATTCCAGTAGTTTAGTCACCCTGACCCAACCAACATATTTTGTTCATTTAAAGTGTGTGTGCGTGCGTGCGTGTGAGTGTGTGTGAGAGAGAGAAAGCGATTTATTATTTATTAATAATAATAATATTCAGTCATACACACATCCATAAGTGTTATTATCATTATTAATGATAGGGTTTAATGACGGGTTCATTAAAACCTGCACTACCTCTCACTCTCAGGGCTCCATGTTAATGTTAATATAATGTTTATGCTTAAAAAAGTGCATATAGCTGCTAGCCTGCTAATTGTATTTTTTGTTTGTTGATTTTCAAATGTTCTCAGGGTGAGCATCAGTTCTTTTTGAACATTTCCATCTCATTTTAACAAAACCGTGATAATATTGATAATCGTGATAACTTTGGTCACTATAATCGTGATATGAAATTTTCATACCGTCCCATCCCTACTTGTCATTGTTGCAAGCAGTCTCCTGCTAATCATCTTCATATGTTCTGGAGCTGTCCTCGGATGACAGACTTTTGGTCCAATGTTTTTGATACACTTAATAATGCTCTTAACATAGAGTTGGACCCCAACCCCCTGACTGCTCTTTTTGGCAGTCCTTCGAGACCTGACTTGTCTATCTCATCTCGCCAGGTTATTGCCTTTACTTCTGTTTTAGCTAGACCAGCCATTCTTCTCAAATGGAAACATGTGACTCCCCCATCGCACGACAGGTGGATCCAAGAAGTTTTTAGCTACTGGAACAAGGAAGGACCAATACTAGAGAGAGGAATGTTTATTCTAATCAATTTATTTTCAATTATTTTATTTTATTTTTTGTGGGTGGGAGGGTTCTGGAAGGGTTTAAATTGAGACAGTCTGTAATTTCTTATTTTTAATTGAATGTAACATTATGTGTTGTCTTTTTAAATACCAACAAATAAAAAAAAAATATTTCAGTGATGCTCTGGATGAAAAATATATAAAAGCGCCAATATATAACAAAGGTTATATAACTGCTATTCACGCACTTGAACGCCCTTTGCAACGGCTGTTTTTTTCTGCTGATCTCTCGCGCCCCCCCTATAGGCGTGACATGTCTACCTGTGTGTTGAAGGGAGGTCGTGTGGCAGACCAGACTCCAGGCGACACTGAGGGTCCCGCCGGGGCCTGGATGGGGCTGTTGTTGCTGACGGCGACTCCAGAGGGCGTGCTCTGACGGGACATCTGCGCCAGCATCTGACCTGCTGAATGAGACACCGGCACCATCTGCTGGGCCATCGCTGCTGACCTGAGAACAGAGAAGAGCACGGTCAGAGGAGCGCGGAAAGACCGTGCCAACAGGAGGAAAGCACATCTAGATTTCTGTGCCAAACAACAGGATAATGCTGAGGTGTGTGTGTGTGTGTGGTACCTGAAGGGCTCACTGGGACGTGCAGTACTGGGGAAAGACGCTGCTGGTGGGTAAACCTGCTGTCCACTGGAGGCACTGGATGACACGGCCTTAGAGTCTGAGAGAGACAGAGACGTGTTAAATCACTGAAGCTGGGTTAGAAATAAAAAAATATATATATTTTTTGATATTAGGTGTGTCACTAAATGTTCTGCGTGACTCTGGACAATAAATCAGAATTGAGCTCTAATCTACTGATTGTAGCCAATTTATTTGTTTGGCTGTTCACATTATTTTCTAAATGTGGCTAATATAATATTTGAGTGTGAACAGATCCTGAACTAACCCGCATGTGCAAAAGAACAATAACAAAGTCGGCACGCAGCACAAAATTATACGCAAGTAAACAGAGATTACTACAGTCAGCATTTACATGCTCATTTAAGTTAAGGTTATAGCCAAACTATAATTAAGGTTATAGTCATCAGGAGAAAGCAACGTTTTGCTTTTATAGAGCGGTCACTGTAATTTTTAAAGAGAATATTGCAGGTAAAAAAAAAAAACTAAATTAATATAACCTTGTATGAAAATACCATATGAAAAGTTTTTTCAGGATTTAAAATGTTTTAAAATGACATAAGGGCACTAATTTAGTAGATAAAGTGAGCGTTTCTTGGACTGCTCGTAAAAACGGCTTTTTTCTCTCTCAACATCGCGTCATTTTACGCCACGCTAGGGAGCCTCAGCCTCGCCTCAGTGCAGAGTAGGCTGGTGTTCAGTGAGAGCGGCCGTGAGTCAGTGTGTTTTCGGTAGTTTTTGTATTTCAATTTATCATCGTCATGCTAAATTATTTGTGGAGTTTGGAGTTTGCAAAAACTGCGGCCTGTCAGGACATCGAGTCCACGGGTTTCCATAACAAGAAAAAGGACGGTGTCTTTCGTGCCTGGTGCGGTGTGTGCCGGTGAAGAGACGGGATTTCTCTTCCGCATCGGCTTCGAGAAACGCGGTCGTGTGTAGCGTTCACTTCAGATCGGAGGTTTGATGGAGTTTAACATGGGATGCCGAAGCAAAAATATTGATCGTCTAATACTGTACCAATGGCATCAAATAGTGTGATATAGGTAGTCAATAGAGGCAACTTGTAATTGAAAAACAAAATTACTCAAGATTGTTTAAATATTCAAATTTTTAATTTTCTGTTTATGTTATAACCCAGGTGAAAAATATGTATTAAAAATAATTTAGTACAATACAAATATACTCAAGTATAGTTTTTATACATTTAATAGTAGCCTATATACCCTAAACATACTCATGTCTGCTGGCCTGATATACGATGGTAATAATCTGTACAATATTGTGAGCACAGTGTATATCGTTAGCGAACGTGTATATATCTATAAGCTAACACTGGTCTCTCTCACCAAGACAGCTGTCCTGTTCTCCACTGGTTCTCCTCACACCACAACTCAATGTGTCTCTGACCGTTCTGTCTAACATTAACCCTGGCCTATGGCTAGGCTAACTGTGGCTGTGGTCCGTCATACGAGTAAGTATTTCCTCCGCGTCCGAAATGTCATTACGATCCATTGTTTTCCTGTTGTTTGAATCGACCGCTCTCCCGCCCGTTACGTCACGCCCATTTTCAGACGCGGAAGTAAAATTCTCTCACAAAAACGACTCCAGAAGCTTCTGTAGCGTATTTATAAGTATATCCTACATTATTTTTCTATACATTGACTCGTTGGGTCCTCTAACCTGCAATATGCCCTTATGAGAATAACAGTTCACCATCTCGCCACTGACTAACTTCGCTGCCGTCTTCCATATTTACAGTGACCAAAGAACTACCGGTATGTAAAATCTTTGGAGTGGCTCCCATCAAGCGCAGAATTGTGACAAATGTTGATCTAGGGTGACGTAAACGTTTGCAAAACATCAGACCTGCTGAACGTAGCCACTAAGCAGCAGATTAGATCTTTACTAACAAAAGTAAAAGTTGTTTAACAAAGTAATTATGACATACATATATATTTTGTAGTAAAATTTACATCTCAAAGTAATATAATAATACTACTACAATATCACACATTTAACATACATTTATTTATCTAATTTTAATATTTTATTTTATGGGGCAAATTAAAAAGTAGCTTATTCTGTAGAGTTTACTAGTAAACAAGTTCTTTTTACATTGATTCTGAATGTGTGTCTGTGTTCTTCATACATGAATTACTCAGTTATATATGATTGTTAGGTTCTTCGAAGCTCATCCTGGAGTTGCTGTCATGGCAACAGGTCCATAAACTCAAACCTGTTTATGTATTATAAACTCAAATCTTATTTCGTGTAAACTGGACTATAGCGGAGGTCATACTTAAAGTCTGTCCCAGCCACTGCAACTTTCTTACATGAGTAGCTAATGAACCAGGGACAATAATAATTTTAAATAATAATAATGGTATTATTATTATGTTGTGTAGTCTATCATAATATAAGCACAGTCAGTTTTACTCATTGAGAGATTGAGGTCTAGAAATTCATCAAGTTTTCTGTCAGGTGTGTGATGTGGTCTTTCATCAGTTATCACGATTAGAAGATCTGGCATCTGTCAAATCATCTCGGATGTATTAAGCGAGGTACGAAGAACTGGCCCCAGTAGTGTGTGTGTGTGTGTGTTTATGGGGAGTCTTACTGTGATCAGCACTGACTACACCTACAGTCTGCACAGGAACCTGAGAGAAACACAGATGGAGACAGACAGTCATTATGTGAACAGGTTAGCAAATCTGATGTGCTGAAGTGCTCATTTACATACAATCTTAAAGGTGCTGTAACAAAAAAAAGGACTGTTTCATTTTAGGGTTAGAGAGAGAGTGGAAATTATGAGAGGATGATGATCATGAAAAAGTAATAAAAGATTTTAGTGAAGAAACCGACTAACAATTTAAGTGGACAAAACGTTGTTCTGTTATTGAAGTGAGACAGCAGAAACAGTTCACATCATAAATTCATGTTTTGTAATTAGTTCACCCTCTTACTGTGCGTTTACACCGGACACGAATAGCGCGTCAAATTCGCGTCTACCGCGTCTAGTTCGACGCATGACCACTTTGTGTTAATTCGCGCGTCAAGAGTGAAACTGACGTCGGATTCAAAACCCGTTGGCGGCCATCTTTTTTATTTTGATCAAGCATTCATCGGGTCGGGAGAGTCACCGCTCTGTATTTGCTCTGGAGAACAGCGGCGTAGGGATCATCGTCGCCGTTTTTGGGTCCACCAGACCCTTCGGAGGCGAACCCAGTTTGGCGAGTTTCACCATTTGCTCGCTCCAGGAGCTGCGCCTGGATGACGGGCGCTTTCAGCGGTACTTCCGCCTGTCCCGCGGCCAGTTTGATGACCTGTTGTCCCGCATCGGACCGAGGATCACCCTCGCCCTCATCCACCATCATTTATTTTTATGTTGATGATAAATGGAGCCAGCCTCCAAAAGTGATTAACCTGTCCTGTGATTTTTTCTCTCTCACACAACACTGTCCAGACACGAAATTATGCACTATAGTATGTTGGTTGTCTTTACATTATAGTAATATTTCATATAATCTAGATATGGAATATAGCATTCAATACAAAATGAATGTCTCATATATTGAAATCAAGTTTTATGTGATAAAATATTTGCTTTGTTGTGCATTAGAACCACACAGGTATTAGTCACATTACAAAATAATTTATTGAAGCATCCGGATACTTCACCACGTGACAGCAGCAAGCAGCTAGGCTCCTGATTGGTTAACGCGGCTCGAATTGACGCAGAAGTTCAGATTTTTCAACTCGAAATCGCGTCAAACGCGTGAATGCACAAATAGCACTAACTAAATCATTCGCGCTTAATGCGCCAGACGCTTAATTCGCGCGAACTTGACGCACGAATGAGGCGTATTCGCGTCTACCGCCTCCTTCGTGCCGCAGAAATTTTTTACGTGCGTAACGCGTCTTTGCATTGACTTAACATTGAAATCACTCGCGCCTGACGCGCTATTCGCGTCCGGTGTGAACGCACCATTAGGCTGTTCGTTCATTTCTGAACGATTTCCGTTTTTATTTAAAACTTAAAAGTGCATCATTTTATTGTTACAACCTCAAGGAAGTTAGTGTTATAACATTTCTTTAAACAACAAGATCCCACTTTATATTAAGTGTCTAACTACGATGTACTAACATTTAAATTAATCATTTGATACAATGCACTTATTGTGTACATAGTGTGTTTTACATTGTACTTATATTGAAAAAATACCTGCATGTAATTACAGCTGCAAGTACACTGTTGACCGTTCTCTTACATCTTAACCAACCCTAAACCTGCCCATACATCAAACCTGTCTCTAACCTTACCCGCAATACACCTCAATAGCAGAACAAGTGTTTGCAATACAACATCAACACAATAAGTACATTGTATCTAACAATTGTATTTTAATGCAAGTACACAGTCGTTAAAAACTAATAAAAATGTGTGACCAACAACAAAAATGACTACGAACAACCAAGGTGTGACCATTTTTTAAAAACTAGTGAATTGAATAATCAGTCGACTGGTGCTTTTATGAAAAAACACACATTCTGACAACATGGAGCCGAGTTGGAGAACCACTGGTTAGAAGGAAAGTGTGTTCACCTGAGGAAGAGTGACCTGATTGGTTTCATAGGCTGCATCTCTGCCGATCCCTCCGTCTAACTCCTGCTGCTGCTGCAACTGCCTGAAGAAGAGAAAACAACACTGACGTCAGTGCAGGCCTAGCGTCATGACCATCAAACCCACCACCGGCCAACACCACAGCTGCCTACGGGAAGAGAGCATGCTGGTTAATCTACCACCGACAGAGGGTCACCCGAGAGACACGGAGAGAGAGAGAGAGTACCACTGCTCTCACCTGGCTGAGACTTGACCTGGGCTGGGTGTGGAGGGGCAGTTAGGACTGCTCTGCCCCAGTGAAGGGGGCAGTGACACCCCCGGGGAGGAAAGGGGGGACAGGGAATCCTGATTCGGACCTCTACTGTCACGCAAAACCAGAGGGATTGGTGGAGACAGAGAGTGGAGCTGAATTAACACGCTCACTCTCAAGACACATACGGCTCAATCTAGGCAAAACATGTCTGAATCATGGTTCACCCCAAAAATCAAAAACCAATGTGAAAATATGTTTTGCATAAAAAATGTGCATATTTTTGGGAGCGTTTTGAAATGAAAGCACATTTTCCTCAAATTCTCTTTATAATTGTGTCCAGGTGTTTAATTTTAAAGGGGTCAGAAGATGGTTCTAAAAAGAACATTATTTTGTGTATTTGGTTTAATGCAAAGCGTTTACGTGGTTTTAGGTAAAGAAAAGTCATTATTTTACACATACTGTACATTATTGTTGCTCCTCTATACCCCGTCTTTCTGAAACGCGTTGATTTTTACAAAGCTCATCGTTCTGAAAAGCACGGTGTGCTCTGATTGGCCAGCGATCCAGTGCATTGTGATTGGCGGATGTGACGGAAAGGTCACGCCCCTTACCATATTTGGAACATCAGCTCCTAAAGCAATAATGACAGGTGATAATGTCGGTTCTACCTTATCAATTCGAGCCCGAATCTGATCTGGGAAATACAGATGTCCAAGCTGATCGATCAACTTTGCCAGCGCGACTGGACCAGATCGTATCAAATTGGTAAGGTTTTATTTCATTGTGGACATAATTACTGATTCTAATCACTTATACTGTCTTTTTACGCGTCGCACCGCGCCGCGCTACGGGTGTGAGAGCACTATGTAAACATTAAACTATGTCTGCATTTGTGATCGTAGAAAGGACAAGCAAGCGCTACTCTATACTGCTCAAAACTCGCGTTTGAACAATCAGAAGCAAATTCCGAAAATGTGCAGCACACAGTCGAATATTTTAGTTGTACTGTTCTGGAACAGTGTTGTAAATAAAGCTTAACCACTGTTTCTAATTGTGTCCTCTTTAGGAAGGCCAAACAAAGTAGTTTGGCTTTCACGATGAAAAACACAGCGTCTCCACGACATGGCGGCAACAATAATACAGTTCCAAAACATGTGTTTGATTTGTTGGGTGGATGTGATTTTAAAATTGCTAAACTACCTGTGAAATTAGCTAGCCTCCATAAACAAGCTTGGATGCTGGTATTTAAGCTTCTCAGTTCTCGCACATGCGTCGTGGCGCTCTCGTGAACTCAGAGGCCCACACGGAAGAAAATTAATAGTTGAATAAAGTCGTTATATTTGTTTTGTTTTTATGCACAAAAAATATTCTCGTCGCTTGATAAACTTAAGATTGAGCCACTGTAGTCACTCGGACTATTTTAACGATGCATTTACTAACTTTTCTGGGCCGGCAGATGAAATTACCTTGCAGCCTATGAAGGAGTGATCCAGCTCTCAGATTTCATCAAAAATATCTTAATCTGTGTCCCGAACATGAACGAAAGTCTTACGGGGTTGGAACAACATGAGGGAGAGTAATTACTGACAGAATTTTCATTTTTGGGTGAACTAACCCTTTAATGAATATACAGTTTTTTGATTAATTCATCAATTTGTACACTCCGGCATGTTTTTGGATGTATTAAGATGTAAATTCTATATGCTTTGTTTGGTAATAAACAAAATAACAATAATACAGCGAGAATAAAAGTTACGGCTTCTTTCTTTGCGTATACATTTGGGCGGTGTTATGAAACTCTGCCCCACACACTGACGTAGATTTGTGTGTGAACGAAGCGCTTTAGGAAGGCGTGGCTGGGCCTTAACTTTTATAAAGAATATCTCTTTGGGTTTGAGACTTTGAGCTTTGTAAATATGCAGATCTTATACTTGCACTAACAGCTACTTGAAAAAGGACTATAAAAAAAAAATCACATCATATGACCCCTTTAATAAACAATTTTCATGTTAAGTTTTGTTTGTAACTCACGATGGAAATTCGTATTACTGTAATGACTTTTTATTTAAATCAGCATAAATAAAGACTTACTCCAAACCTTTAAATGTTAGTTAGTCTTATTTATGCTGATTTAAATAAAAAGTCATTACAGTAATAAGAATTTCCATCATATGACCCCTTTAATAAACAATTTTCATGTTAAGTTTTGTTTGTAACTCACGATGGAAATTCTTATTACTGTAATGACTTTTTATTTAAATCAGCATAAATAAGACTAACTAACATTTAAAGGTTTGGAGTAAGTCTTTTTATTTTTTTAAGAAATTAATACTTTTATTCAGTAAGTTAATTAACCAAAATTGACAGTAAAGACATTTATAATGTTACAAAAGATATCTATTTTAAATAAATGCTGTTCTTTTGAATTTTCTAATCACATTTTTGTGGAAACTATAATACTTTTTTTCCCTCAAAATTATTTGAAGCACCACAACATTGGTAATATTAAGAAATATTTGTTGAGCAGCAAATCATCATATAATGATTTCTGAAGGATCATGTGACACTGAAGACTGGAGGAATGATGCTGAAAATTCAGCTTTGATCAAAGGAATAAATTACATTTTAAATTACAGTCTGCACTGTAAAATTACATTATTCACATAGAAAAGTGTTCTTTTATTTTAATAATATTTTACAATATTCCTGTTCCTGATAGTATTTTTTATCAAATAAATGCAGCCTCGGAGAGCATAAAAGACTTTAAAAAAAACGTACCGACTCCAAATATTTTCGCGGTAGTGTTAATAACTGAAATAATACAAATATATTTCTGCATTACATTAAGGAGAATTGGGGAGGAGGTAAATATGCTTAATTGTCACGAAATGTCACATTTCACTGTGTCATAATACATAAAAGAAGCTTTATCTTTTTCTTTATCTACATAGTTTCTTATATAGAAAAATTATATTATATATATGTCTTTTTTTAATATTTTGGGGTGAAATAAGACCCAGACATAAACACATGCCTTCAAACAAACTGATACATTTACATTTGATTACCTCAACAGGAATTAACCTTCGATCATAAAAACACTTTTATACATTGTATGAAGTCATACTACATTAGGCAACACTGATTAACATGAGGCTAAAATAATCTGAAAGTGTTAAGACCGTGACACATCAAGCCGAGCCGGCGTCAAAGAACTAACAGCTACAGAAGACCACTTTGTTGAGACCACGTCTGCTGTTGAGACCACGTCTGCTGTTGAGACCACGTCGGCTACTACAGGACTAAAGGCGACTGTCCGCTAGCATGTGTGTTCTGCGTCTGCGTGTAAGGAAATAACTGTCTTTATCAGTATCAATATTTGTCCTTCAAAAAGGAAAACTAAAACTAGGAGTTCAGATACACTGTAAACAAAGCAGCACTTTCTTACCATTTTGAATATCAATCACGCTCATCACTTTCTTCATTCCGGGCGGCTGTTATGAAAATATTTGCATATTGGGATGTTCAGGGAAGACAAAGTAAAACTAGAACAGCCTTCTGTCTCTGTGCCATCTTGACTTGCTCGCTTTTGCACTGATTCTTTTGCTAAACTGAACAGCCAGTTTAGAGTGATCTCTCTCACCAATGCAGATAAAACACTGAATCGGGTGAGTCTACAGCCGACGGGCGGCAAAAACTAGCCTGACAGATTTGCTGTTGGCTTGGCATGTCACGGCACTTAAACAGTGGCCCCAAAAACCTTTCAAAGCTTAGGTCACAGTGTACACAGCATTATCATAGCACATAATATCAAGCAAACAACTTTAGCAATAAAGTCAGTTCACACAAGTGTAATTAATCACCTTCAAGTGTGTGTGGTGCTGTTGTGTGTGTGTGTCTGGTCTTGTGTTTACGTGATGCATTTCAATACTAACTTGACATTGGCGTTGGTGGAGATGATGTACTCGATCTCTTCAGAGAAAGGATTCTGGAAGGTGAATGAGCTCGTTCTCATCCAGATCCACTCACGGGATTTAGACTGGAAGCGGAACATCACCGAAAGCACCTGACCTCGCAGTTTCACCACCTACATCGAGGGTCAAAGGTCACTTATGCATACACAAAGGATTAAGCACCAGCATTAAGGCCCATTAAAATCAAGATCTATAACTGAAGATAACAATAACTATATTAGCGTCCACACCAGCGGATGATATCGTAAGCGTGCGCTGCAGTTTAGTCGTCTGCCGCTTTAAATGCTCAAGCTATTTAAAGTAAGGGTGGATTCTGACTGGCTGTCAGAAGTTTTCATCATTCAACAGCTGGAAAAAAATCGATTTTCAGAACTATCTTTATCGTTATAGCTATAATCCTTAGTGTGACCGGCCTTAAAGCTATAGTATGTTATGAAAAAAATATGTTCAGATATAATGCCACATCTTTAATTGCACATTAACTGAATTTTGTCAATTTGCCAATTTACATTGCATACACCATATTGTGTTGGTTGTTATTAATAATAAATTTAATTATGTATTGAACATTGGCGTATGTTAGGATATTGCTATTGCTGCCATTTTATAAAAGCAAAAATTTCTAGCAATGCACATAAAATAAAATATATGCATTACAATAACTTCACTGTAAAAAAAAGTTTCTGCCTTACTTTCTTTAATCAACTTGGATGTTTAAGTCATTTCAACTTAAATTACATTAAAGTGACTTAAATTAGTTGAATCTTGAATGAATGAGTATGAATAATAAATAAAAATTGAAAATTGCTTAACTTATTTTGATGAGCATTGTAAAATCACGTTGTCATAACTTAATGATCATAAATTTTTTTACAGTGTTGTAATGTGTTGAGTATTTCAGCGTGATGTCCGATGCAAACCCACACACCTGCTGAAGGCTGTCTTGCACTAAGCCTTGGTCTTCTGGGTGTGCAAACTCCAGAACGTTCTTCCCCAGTAACTCCTGTGTCACATAACAACACAAAACACTAGTGAATGAAATTAATAGTTTACTGAAACACCAAACCAAAAATAAAGCTGAAACCGAAAATAAGGTTTATTTAGTAATCAATTAAATCATCCAATTTATTTAATATTAATAATCAACACCCAAATAAAAACTGTATATATAAACATTTAAAATGTACATAAAGAACCACTGGTTCAATTATATAATTATCTTTCTTTTCCATGTCATGAAATGTAACCATTTAAATGTAACTTGCTTCATTAAATAATGAAGACATGTTAATTAAAAGTACAATGAATAAGTAATACTAGAAACTTATTCATAGACTTATATAGATACTAAAAACTAGAAATCTTTCTTGTCAACCCAGCCCTGGTGTCCACACGGCTGGCATGTTTACTTGTTGCAGTAAATCCACGTTGCATGCATGAAATAGACACTGACACCGTCAAAACTCAGCATTGGAGAAGAGCTAATTAAACGTCACCATTTCAGTCAATGATTTCGGCCTTCCAAAACCATTTTATAGATATTTTAATATGTTCAGTTCAGTTGTGAAATTTTGGTGCATCACTAAGCAAGTCTGAAAACCTGAAGCTGATCAGCTATACCTATACCATCTTAACACCCTGCTCTTCAGAAATGACTTCCTTTGGCCATGAGGTCCAGCCTGACTCCGGCTTTTGAGGCTCACCTGAGGTTGGTAGCCCACTGTTGCTAGACAGCGGTGATCCACAAAGGTGTACATGCCCTGGCAGTTGTGGCGGGAAATAAACTCCACTGGAACGCTGATGTTATTTATGTTTTTGTCGCCTGGGCAACAGGTGACCTGCATGAAAAACAGAGGTCAGAGAGGAACTACAAGGGATAGTTCACACATTTATTTTATTTTATTATTCTGTCATTATTTACTCACCTTCATTTCATTTCAAACCCATAAGACTTTCATTCATCTCCGAAACACATATATTACAGGGGTCATATTATGCCTTTTTATGAAGTCTTGATTTTGTTTTTGGTGTGTACTAGATTATGTTTCCATGCTTGATTGTTCAAAAAACGCATTATTTTTCACATATTTTACATTATTACAGCACCTCTCTCCCCAGTCTGGCTTAAAAATGCCGATTTCGATGAAGCCCCTCCTTCCGAAATACGTAATGTGCTGTGATTGGTTAGCTGGCCCAGTGTGTTATGATTGGGACCGCTTGGTGCGTGTTCGGGAAATGTCATGCCCCTTTATAACTGAGAGCTTTAATGTAGTGTAAATATTAACAATGGCGTAAATTTCAGACCAATTCGAGCTTGATTCAGACCCTGACAATGTTAACAAACAAGAGGATCGTCCAGAACGAATTTCACAGGACGTTTCAGAGTAGTATGTTTTTTGTAATTTTCTTATACATTACAGATACGATGCTATCCACCATTTAAACGTGATATTTGTCGGAAAACTAAGGTAATAGAAACAGTAATCGATCACAAAACCATGTTTAATTTTCCTAAGGAGCGGTGAACAGTCTTACAAAAGCGAGAGCTTACAAAGGCTACAGAAAACAAGCTGTTCTTCATAAAATGTGAAGCGCACAGATAAACATTGGGATTATAATGTTCAGGAACAGCGTTTAAAATAATTTAACCACTCTAAGTTCATCAGCCTTAGGAAGGTCAAACAAATGAATTTTGAAAACGTTGTGGAAAAAACCGTCTCTCTTTGACATAGCAGCAGCTCAACCAGGCCTCGTCCACTTTCTGCGTATTCATATTTAAATGAGTAAAACTGTGACTTCATAAGATCTGGAAATATTGCGTTCGTTGTAGTTCATGGAAAGTGGAATCTGTTAAATAAAATATCTCCCATTGGAGTGAACTTTGAGCTTTGTAACCTTGCAGATCTTTTTAATGCTCAAACAGCAACATTTCACACCAACTAAAGTTGAAAAAGTGGAAAAGCATAATAAGACCCCTTTAAAAATGAAACCACAGAGATTTCTGTCCCAACATTGTAAGTCCACACAAACGATACTTACATAAAAACACTGTAAAATATGAATCGGTTGGTCTTAGAAAGCGACTGCGTCTGTTCAGATGTTGAACAGATTATTGGCTTTTATTCACATTCAAACATCGATCAACTCACATAGAGCTCATCAAATATGGCAATGGAAGCTCAAACGCAAGAACAAACCGCATTGATTCTCGCTCGTCAAGTAAGCTTATTTGAGCTTACGTTTCACGCTCATCATTTATTCACCCTATTTTGTTCCAAACCCATATGACCGTCTTTTGAACACAAAGGTAGATGTTTAGTAGAAGATTGATGTTACTCTTTTACATACAAAGTGAAGAGAAAGCAGCATGAACAGTCTGCTAAACTTCTCCTTTTTAGGAAGATATGAGGTAAGTTTTGAGAAAATGACGACAGAATTATTCCTTCAAATGTGACAAAACTAATTCATTGGAAATATAAATAAAATGGAAGGGAAAGAGCACCTGTAGCCTTCCAATGGCGACTAGACAACAGCGATTTCCCTGATTATTATCAGCCTCCTCTTCAGCGAGAGTCACTCCTGAAAGAAAGAGAAAGAGTTAAAAGGGCAATATCAGTTCCAGCCGTTTTCTGACTGAACTCTGGTAATATCAGTGAACAATAGGGTCTTCCTGTGTATTGTGTTACCTGCAGGAGGCCAGGATTTGATGAAGCCTGTGCAGTGCACAACCACATACTGCGGTTCACCGTCCTTAGGAGGACCCAATCCATTCCTGCAGAAGAAGAGATGATCTTCATCTATGTCTGTTTGTGGACTGAGATCTACAGGCAGAGAAGAGATGCTTTACCTGTTTCTGCTTGTCAGGAAGTTGAGTCTGTTCATGGATACTGGCTCTACTGGACATACTCCACATCTGAACACACACATTACAATCAATGTAGCATTCGAAAAATTTTGATATTAAGATTTAATACTTTTTCCAAAAAATATACTTGTTTCTTGTGCATGCAAACGTCATATAACTTGACCTACTGGGTGAGTTGCGTAGTACTAATGTATACATAGGAATTGAATATGTGGCGCAAAAATGAGTTTGCTAATATTGTATACTTTCGTGTCCTTAACCCTGTAAAGTCTGACATATGAAATAGTCAGGAAGATCTTCCTTTTTAAAAATGGAACAAAAAAAAAGTATAATTAAAATGATATGTTTTGTGACATATCTGATAAATCAGGCTTTTATGGCTCATATAGTATGATACAGTTAGAATATAGAGCTCATAGTCCAGGCGAAAAACAAAAACACTTTAAGTTTAGAAAAATATGCTATTTCTTTCAGATGCTGATATTTATAAATATAAAAAGTAAGATGAAATTCTGATAGCTTTAACTGTAAATCAATGAGATCTTTAGAACAGTTAGTATAGCAGATACCAATATCATTCGTCACTCTATATCACCCAATATGTCCAAGTGAGATGATTTTTGAATGCTTAGTTTTAAAACATATAATGCAATGCAATACAGTGATGATTGAGAGATGAACAAATAAACTCCTCAAAAGCCTGATGGATTATATTTGATACTCACATTTTAACATCCTTCAAAAAAATGATGCATGTATAATCAAGTAAAGTTGCTTCACTCCAGCAAGTGTTCATGTTACAATTATACTAAAAGGCCTTTTACATGCTAGAAAAGTATAAACTTTCAATCAGATGACAGAAGGCATGTAGTAGATTGTGTGTATTAAATATGATACAGCAGGCTTTATAGGGTTAAAAGAGGTCTGTCTGTTCTCCCTGTGCATCACCTCATCCTGCAGATGAAGGAGCGGCGTGCACCCATACCCATCCTCACAGATGTCTGACCACCCTCTTTCTTCACCGTGCCTGTTTTCATGTCTAACATTCGACCTAAAGTCAGAAAAGAGTAGGATCATTTAAACAGGAAAAGACTGACAACAGAAAAGATGAAGGAAGTCGAGCCGTTTCTTACCGCTGTTGTTCTCACTGGTGGAAAGCTGCTCTCGGAATTTCTCTATGTCGTCTGGATGAAGCTGGTCGTACAGTGATGATCCAAGCCAATCCTTTTGTAACTGGTTCAGAACCGGTGTGACGGAGTCCGAAACATAAACGACGCGCCCGGTCTCACATGACACAACAAACAGGAAACCATCAGCTGCCTCTAAAATCAGGTGCTTCAGCTCCTATAGAAAGAAAGCTACATAAATATTTGGTGGCAGTGAAACCCTTAACAGAATTTAAAATGTAATGCTTAATATTTAAAACAACCCATTCAATTCATTAAACATCGTACATATAGGGATTTATGGAGACCCTAAAGCAGGGGTCTCAAACTCAACTTAACTGGGGGCCGCTGGAGGTAGAGTCTGGGTCAGGCTGGGCCGCATCAAGTATTCCACAAAAAATAGTATTCAAGTATTCCAAAAAAGGAGCACAACTGATCCAATCTTCTCAATCTTTATTATTAACGTTTCTTCTGAACTGTTCCTCTGAATTTGAACATTCCTTTCTGTACATGATTGGTTCTTCATGAGCTGTCCTTCTGACAGTTGAAGTTCATTTTACAAACTTTCTTTGTCTATAACACATAGGCCTATTTGTAATATTTATATTTGCTTATGTCCTTTTTATTTTCTTTATACAACACATTAATGATATTGAATGTTTTTTTTGGAAGGCACATTTCCTTTTATTGTATACTTAGAAAAACAATTATTGCTTTTGAAATACAAATATTTGCAGTCATGTCTGCCCGTCTTATTGAATTCTTTCTACACATGTATAGTGTCTCAGGCAAATTAGGCTACTGAATTTGCACAAATCAAAGCAAACCTTCTTATCAACCTGTTGGACACATATTACAAGCTCAAAATGATTATTCTCACATTGTTTTAAAGCAGGGTCTCTCTCCAACATGTCGCTCGCGAGCTACCAGTAGCTCGCGGCCTGATTGGTGGTAGCTCGACAAGGGGCAGTTCACATATCGCGCTCACATATTTTGCGCGCTCAAGTTCGTTATTTCAAATGTAGGTGCGCGTGCGAGGCAAGCGCGCTCATAATTGAAGCGACGCGCTCATTTTTTCCAGGCGCGCAGTATGTTTGTACTTAGCGGTTGTCTATGGCAACTATTGACAACAAACCCACCGTATGGTAGCCCATTTAAAACGCGGCACACGCAACGACGGGCCGCACTAACATTACACTTTAATGTCAAGTAGGGGGCCACAAAATATCTCCCCGCGGGCCGCAAATGGCCCGCGGGCCGCGAGTTTGAGACCCCTGCCCTAAAGAGACATGGTGGTGGAAAAAATATGAGATGGGAGGAAAACATATTTCCAAACTTTCTCGAAGGAAAGCGAGCGACCTTGGTCGTTCTTGGGGGAACACAAAAGTTTTGCAAGGTCCCAAATCTTTGCATTCGCTTGCAAAACTTTTTTGCGTTCCCCCAAGAAACCAAGTTGAATGTGTAGTGTTACAAATTTCCAGATTCCAAAAAATAAAAAGAGAAAGTTCTGCACACTGTTTTCCCTTTTGAGGCAATCAAGGTGTTGGACATTAACCTCTCGTCACTTCTCAAAGTTCAGCTGGGCCTTGGTTGATCTAATCAGGCTGATTGGATTAGCATCTCAAGGCTCTGAGTTACATTGTTATGCTGATGAAATCAGATAACCAGCTGAATCAACATGCTTTGTTTCAGAGTGTCTCCACCTCTATGTAACCCCTCCCCCTTGTAAGGTATATGAACACAAGGTATTTTGGCTTAGGTCAGACTTGGGGAAGATTTTTGGACGAAGCAGACTTGGGAATACTACAGCGATGCAACAGCAATAAAGAACCCTGCTTAAAAGATACACCCGAGTCTCCTGCCCTTCGCTTCTGAGTTTTCAAACACTTTAGAAGAAAAAAGTTCACAACAAATGCAAAGTTCTTGGGGAACGCAAAACATGTGCGAGAGAACGCAAAAGCATTGACATATTTTTTTCTTTACCGTGTCAGCAGGGGTGTCCAAAGTCAGTCCTGAAATGCCAGTGTCCTGTGGAGTTTAGCTCCAGCTTGCCTCAACACACATACCTGGAAGTTTCTAGTATAGTATGGCCCTGTCCCAATATCCGCACTTGCGCCCTTGTGCCCCTCAATGCGCGTTCTCGCTAAGGGGTGCAAGACCGTAGGGTGTCCCGATCCTCTAAAAGTGTTCTCCAGGGGTGATCATAAGGGCACTTAATGCACCCCTTTCGCAAGTGCACATCAGACCTCACTTTGCTGTGGGATATTACCCAGAATCCTTGTAGTGTTGAAACGTTCCGAACAGCTAACCAATGGGGGAGAAACTCCGAAGATAAAGGAAGCCGGTATGGTGAAGTGTTTTTCAAGGTTGCGAAATTTAAAAATATTAGTGTTATTGTGTCACGAAATGTAGTTTTAAGAGTTTTTCAGTCGAGAATATACTTGTTTAAAGCTCTAATCTGTGGTTTGTTTATAAAGATAGCGCCTATTTAAAAATTTGATCTGACTTTTTCGGAGTTCCATGGATCAGCGGGCGCACAGCGCTCATATACCCCGCCTGGAACAGCCTTACCTCGGCTAGTCATTCTGACGTTTCCCGCGGGCTGTGTCTAGTGGTTAAACATACGCTATAAATCGGCTTGTGTATATCTAAGGGGCGATCTTTGGTCTCATTAATGTATGATTTGTTCCCTGGCAAATCGTTTTGGCTGAGGGCAAAGTGAAGTTTCATAACTTTATATATTTATGCTATTTAACTGTAACGTTGTAACGTTAGCCTGGTGACTTATGTTTGACTGAATCTTTTAACTTGCTTTATTTCTTGACTTATATAGATTCTTATACTTTTTAGGCTACTTATAATTTAATAATGGCTATTATTGATCAATAAAACTGAAATTTAACAAAAAGAGACAGGGTTGTGTCATTTTATTTCATATAGCCTATGTAAGACTTTTAATAGCCTTAGCCTATGTATAATATATCACCAACACGTCATGTATTTTTTCATGTATGGGATGGGAAGAATTTCATATATCAATTTCCATAATAACATAATTAAAATTGCATTTCGAATCGCTGTGAATACGGTAAGGCAGTATAAGCTCAGGTAAACCCCAATCACAATTTATCTTAGCCAAAAACTGTTTTAATATTAATAACATTAACAGAAAGTAAGCTAAGAGCTAAGAACAGCTAAGAGTAAAAAAAGATATTATTTTTTTCATTCAAAGGATTGTGTCATGTTACAGCTATTATAAGCAGCACACACATTAGCCAAATGAATGGTGTTTGCTCTCCTGATCACAACAGAAGTGACGTGTGCAAAACTGTCCCAATTCTGCTCTTCACAGCTTCGGGCCCTTGCGCACTTACTCCGCTAAGTGCACTTTCAACAAGTGTCCACTTCCAGGAAGGCCTTAGGGCTCAAGTGAGAATTGGGACTGGGCCTATGCCTAGTAAGACCTTGATTAGCTGGTTCAGGTGTGTTTAATTGGGGTTGGAGCTAAACTCTGTAGGACAGTGGCCCTTCAGGAGCAGGAGTGGAAAACCCTGCATTAGGGGCTGCATAGGGAATTAAAGACAAGTTTGAGGTTATCCTAGCTTTAAGAGGTTATTTACAATGATGTTTAAGATGATTCTTTTCAAGAATTTGAATTTCTCTTATGTCTTAAGTAAAATAAAAAGATAAGAACATTCTTAAGAGGGCATTCACACAGAATGCGTTTTAGCGGTTAAATAAGCGAAACGCAGGTCAGTGGAATGAAAAAAACACACGCAAAGTTAATACTTCTTTTAAAGGTAGGGTAGGCTTTTTTTTTTTTTTTACTTTTTATTATACTGGTTGAAAGTCTCTTCAAGAAAAATAGCAGTTGCTCTTAAAAATGTTTGTATATACAATGAGGAATCTACATTGATCATATCTGACCTGGTCTGTGAGAAAGGACGGTTTATAGGCTCCATCGGTGCTGGTGTTGCCGCTCCCTCTGAGAGACTTCATGTGTGACACAGCCATGCGCAGGATGGTGAGCTTGTCTGGTTTGCGTGCCAGTGCGCTGCAGGTGGGCACCATGTCTGACAGCTCTGTGATGTACGCGGTCATCTTATTTCTCCGCCTCCGCTCAATCTCGCTGTGGTTCTCCCTGGGGTCAGGAGGTCAGAGCAGGAGCATGAGAGATGGGCGGTGCATGGAAGCGTGGGGAGAAGAGAGCAGGAACAGAGAAAGGTCGAGAGAAAGCAACAACAAGCAAACGAGGAGGAGAAAGAGAAAGAGAGAGATGGATGAATAAGCAAATAAAGACTGCATCAATGTGCTCCTCAAATGAGACGACACTCGCATCTCCATGATAAACAAATGTGTATGAACGATCTCATGAAAGTTGAAAGATAAAGCCTCTTCAAACGGCCTGAGAAAAGAAGAGAGGGATAGAAGGAACACCTGAAATAAAGTGTAAGACACTGACAGACTCATGGGCTGCGTTCAAAATTAAATACTAGATTACAACTTACTGCATACTACACAGTGTATACTGTATACTGAGTAAAACAGTATTCAGCCCAAATATACTCTGCAAAGATCTGGGGTAAAAGGAAGTCCGAAGTTCAATCATCATGGACCAGTTGCAGTTCAAAGGTGGTAACAGCAAGTTTTCCAGAAAGTTCATGCTGGAGAGCCGTTTAAAGTAACCCAGCCAAACAAACTCCAAAACACTCTCAGTTTGGCCAGATTTTGTTCAAAAAAACATCACAAATGTTTGTTCTTTGATTTCACAAATAAAATATATCGGGCTTTAAGGCAAGACACTACATGTGAATTGTGTAACAACTAATTCGATATTACCCTAGTTGAGTAATCATGATAGTACAATACCTTTTTGTCAGAAAAAACATTCAACCGGCAGACAAAAATAAATTTTTACCATATTTTAAAGTATTATATAAATCAGGCGAATGTTATATGAACAAACTCTGTAAAACCCTCAGAATATAGATAGGAATAAAACGTAAATCCTACTAAAGTGGAGATTTCTGACTCAGTGTTGCTAGCTGAGCAGAAATACATAATCATGTTTCTCTTGGTCCCGTCAAAGTTGCGTTGGATTTTCTCTTTCGTGTAAAGGTTAAGAGGTCCATCTATCACTGTTTTCCATGTTCGTAGAGTTAGTTTCTGGAGTCAAAATATAGGCTATAATCTGTGCGTTTACACAGCCTTTTTAAAAATGGTGGGTGCTGGTGTTACGTGTGCTTTCGGCCAATCAGCGTCACTAACGTGTAGTTCCTATAGTGCTGGTTTAGACCCGACTCTGAAGTAGGAGCTACATTAGTTCCTCCAAAAGGAGTTTCTTGAACTAAAATAGTTTTTAGTTCTTGCGTTGTGAACAAAAACCGGGTACTTCCGCCAATAGTTCTAGGAACTAAGAAAAGGTTCCTCCGGTGCGAAAGCCCCTTTAAATGTGTATCTGGATGTTATCTTTCCACCTGAAAGAAGACAAATTAAAAGCAAAATAGCCCAAAATCTCAAAATTGACCAGTACATGAAAAAAAACTATGCTTTTGCCTGTAGTGTCAAACAGCTGTATGCTATCACATGTCATATATTGTCACATGACCTCATTATATTGCATGTTTAATTCAGGGAGTGGCATCCAGTTCATCATCTTGCAAATAAAAAGTTATTATGCATACAATTTTGTGTACATTGTCCTTAACTTTGACAGTCCAATTAAATAATAAGTGAAGACTTATTTAACATTTAAACTGGCTGATACAGCAATGAAGGCTCATTCAAAGGCATGAGTTTGGATCAGGACTATCTGATTGGCCAAAAAATAGATGACGGGAAGAGTGTTTGGAAACTTGACCAGCAGATCTAGGCAATGCCAGTCAACTTTGAGCAATAACAGATTAGCCTAAAGAGATTCTTGAGAATCCTTGGAAGATCAATTACCATATTTGTACTTCTCATGCACTCTTATTTTAATCAATCAATACCTGGCAAATCTCTCCTTGTCATTCGATCCACCTCCGTCATCATCACACCTGAAAAAAGAAAAGCCAGAACGAAAGAAAAGACAAATTGTTAAACACAGTCACAAGACACACAGCTCATCAAAGTTCGAGCAAAGTCGAACCCTTAAGTCACAGATCATGACTAACCTGAACAATTTACTTCCCTCATCGTCTTCAAAGTCAGAGCTGGAAACCAGGGAAATTCACATTAGTCAGTAATATTGCACAACTGCAAAGGCATTCAAACATTCCCGTATTTCTCCACCCACTCGACAGACGGACCAATGGCCAGAGCAAAACACACTGACAAACTGAATCAAATCAACCACAGACACTGAATAAACAAGCACACTGTTGTTGGCCAAAACCAAAATGTCATTCCTGTGAATTTGCCTCTGGAAAGCCACTGTTACGTTCACATATGAAGCATATTAAGGGGCAGTAATCATCCAAACCCCTATGACATTCTTTCTAACATGTTAAGAGGAATGTTCAAGGTTCTCTTAATCAAAGGATTTACAAAGTGTCTGTACACTGTCAAGCGCCAAAAAGCATGATAAAGCACCATAAAAATGATCATTCTTCCTAATGCGGTCAGGACATTGGCGTACAAGTATGTATGGTGTTTTCTCTCCTTTATGGAACTTGAAGGTTTCAATGCCCATTAAATTCCACTGTATGGAAAAAAGCTCGTTTGCACTCTACAAGTTATTTCCTTCTGAGCTCCAAAGAAAAAAATCTGAAAATGGCAACAGAATGATCCTTTTGAGAGCGGAGATCAACTAAACATGAGCAGGAATATTTAAGCACTGATTTAATAATGATTAGTACTTTTATATCTTTTAAAGAGTTGGCTCAGTCAGACTTACCTGGCTTGCCGCTTGTTGTTGGCCTTCGACACGGCTGGTGTGGCCATGGCCAGTGAAGAGACCTCAGCCATATCTAAAATACAGCACACACAGAGCAGGACTGATAACTATCAAATATACATATACTGTATATAAAGAGGGTAAAGAGAACAAAGTTGTGCATGTGCCTTCCTCTCCAGATCCTCGATATATAGAAAAAATACACTGACATATTGGCCAGTCTAGTTAATTTGTGTCCGGTTTTAAATCTACCAGGCATAAATATATATATTTTTTAAATAGGGTAATTTGGTGTCCCGTGATGTTTTTGTGGTATAGGCCTAAACGGTTTAATATACATTAGGTCGTCTAATTAGTTTGTGTTCGACTTGAAGCGGTGCTGCACAGACCGATGACATCACTGTGAGAGTGATTAGGGAGCAGACTTTTACATCTTTCAATCTTTTAAAAAAGCTTTCGAATCACTTTCGCGCAACTTTGATGTCATAGAGACCGATCAGTCTGCACAACACTTCAAGTTGAAGACTATTGTATTGAATCCTACAATCCTATTGAATTGAAACTCATATTGTATTGTTCCGAATTTAAATGACCCTCATTATAAGACGACCCCCCTTTTTCAAGATGTTACCTTTTGGAAAAAGCCTTTTTGAGGGTCAAATCTTGTCTTTTTTTTAAATAAAAATGATTTTATTTGAAAATAATTTTCACATTGCATATTTTTCATATTAAATTGTTTTATTTTTATATTGAAGGAATGGTAAATATTGGTAAAATATACCAACAACAATCACATTTAAAAATAAACACTTCATGGCATACCATAAAAAATAACCTGTAATTCTCATTTCCAGTAGATTTCACAATGACTGATTTCTCATCTTTTTTTTGAAGTGACAGATGTTGGCATGTCAAAATAGAAACGCAGGTGTTTGATCCACATTACCTATCTGATCCTAGGGTTATGAATGCTTTTTCCTTAGGCCACTCACATAGGCTAGCGCTGAAAAGACAGCAGTTTCTCCCTGAAGTCGGAGGGAAAGCCCTGAGCAAGGCATGTTCAAGGAAGAAACTAACAGGCAAGCGCGCAGCCAAAACAAGAAATGATGGGCCTCGCTGGTGGGTAAGTTCAGCTCTTTGGCGATATCCAGTGCTTTGGTTATTGCCAGCCCCTCATTTCTTTCTTTGGCCACGTACCGACACAACAGCCTATCAACATCCCCGAAGCAGCCGCTTTTAGGACCACAGTAAGCTTTTCTTTAGACTGTTAGCATTTTTAAGACTTAAGAAGTATTTCTTGGCTGCTTAATGAGAGTTTTTTTAATGACTCCGCTGCATTTATCAGTCCTGGGCGGAAACACTAGTTTTACACGCATTTGGCGCTCCCTATTGTTGCAGCTGTATTATTGACATGTTAAAGTCTACACACTAAATATAAGATGACCTCATTTTTCAGATGCATTTCCAAGAAAAAAAACACTGTATAACTAACTATACATTAATTTTTTTGGAGGTTTCATATCTATATGTGAGATCAATAGCACCGCTGTACATAAAATACTGCAATCAATACAACATCATAGGAGATGTATCAGAGCTTAAAAGAGGACACATTTTTGATGCGCGTGTCGCTGGCTCATCTGTGGTATACAGGGCAGTGTCGTCGGCATTCCTCCATGAAAGACGAACCACTAGGGCTGGGCGATATGGCTGAAAACTGTATCACGATATCAGTGTTTCATATCGGTCGATATCGATAATTATTGATTTTTTTATGACCCATTTAAAATAAGGACCAGGAGAAAAAATATATTACATTTATACATTTTTATTTTAAACTTAACCTTCCTCTGATTACAATCCCAATAAGTTTTATTAATAAAGGCATAGAACCAGTTTATTTATAGTGCACTGATAATAGTTTTATATAATTGGTTTATTAATTAAACTAATAAAAAGATAGATATGAGATATGTTTGGTAATTGTACCTGAATGAATTTAAAATTAATTTGCTATATTTCAGATCAATATATTTGTTTTCCTTAATTTTAATTAACCCTAACTTTATTCTCATCAGAATTATAAATAATTGATTTCCGTATAAAATAATACTACCAACACATTTCATTTTCTTTTTTAATCAATGTGTAACTTAAAAATAAACAGATTAGTGCTCTGTTTTGAGGACAAGAAATGAAAACCAATGCGATATGACGAATGTCCAAAAGATGGAACACACAGACTGTTTTAAAAAGGGGTTGGATAAATGTTTTGCTTTTAAAACGGTGTGTGACAGTTGTAGGTTACAGTTTGACAAGAAATACAGTGTGACAAAAGCACAATGTTGTGTTTTATTGCGAGTATAGGCCTACACAAATATAAGTAAACACTTTGCAGACTGAATGATGTCCTGTATTAACAAAATGACGGGAGTATGTTTTTATGTCTCCACTGTTCGATCGCGCCCGCGTGTCTCTCTCTCTCTCTCGTGCGCGCGATCGCACACACACACACACACACACACACACTCCAGCATTGCAATCTTGACATCGCAGCCTGTTTATGATGCTGTGTTCACATCAAACGCGAATAGAGGGAATTATCCAATAATGTTTCGCAATTCTAGCCTGCATGGCATGCAGATGAAGGGCACTCATTTTCTGCTTATCAATCGCCGGTTACTGAAGAGGAACCCAGCAGCACGAGACAACGATTCTGCAACATGAGTCTGGATATGGCGCAACCAAACTGACACGTTACATGATGGCCTGTTAGCGTGCCACTCCCTACTTTGCTAGGTTACCAGAGAGCGAGTCCCTTTGTTAATGCAACCAAACTTGCTTCGCAACCTGTGGTTTCTTCCGACGAAGAAAAAAATATCGAACGTTTTATCGAACACATTTTTTATTGATATCGATCACGTGTCTATCGCGATACATATCGTTATCGTTTTATCGCCCAGCCCTACGAACCACATCCAACAGGAGTAACTGTCGACGCAAGAGGAAGCTGTCTGAAAGGGATGTCTAGGTACTAAACGCAGATTAAATCCAAAAAACATAACACCACAGCTGCCCAACTCACGGCAGAATTAAATGCGCACCTCGACTCTCTTGTTTCCACCAAAACTGTTCGTCAGGAAACTCCACAGAGTCAACATTCATGGTGGGGCTGCTAAAGCCATGCCGACAGTTTAAATCTTGGGCTGTGAAAAATGTGAAACATGTATTGTTCTCTGATCTATTGTGAATCATAATCATACACTGTTCATTCATTGGCAAGAGGAGAACTGGCCCTCCGACTGAGCCTGGGTTCTCCCAAGGATTGTTCTTTATCAGTCCATCTTTATTGTTTTTCCCCACATCCATGGGATACGAACTTTTCTAGATAGATACTATAAGATAGATTATTTAGAAAGAAAGAAAGACAGATTAGTTAGAAAGAAAGAAAGATAGATTAGTTAGAAAGAAAGAAAGGTTAGTTAGAAAGAAAGAAAGATTAGTTAGAAAGAAAGAAAGATTAGTTAGAAAGAAAGAAAGTTAGTTAGAAAGAAAGATTAGTTAGAAAGAAAGGTAGATTAGTTAGAAAGAAAGAAATATTAGTTAGAAAGAAAAAAGAAAGATAGATTAGTTAGAAAGAAAGAAAGATTAGTTAGAAAGAAAAAAGAAAGATAGATTAGTTAGAAAGAAAGAAAGATTAGTTAGAAAGAAAGAAAGAAAGATTAGTTAGAAAGAAAGAAAGTTAGTTAGAAAGAAAGAAAGGTTAGTTAGAAAGAAAGAAAGATTAGTTAGAAAGAAAGAAAGATTAGTTAGAAAGAAAGAAAGATTAGTTAGAAAGAAAGAAAGTTAGTTAGAAAGAAAGATTGGTTAGAAAGAAAGGTAGATTAGTTAGAAAGAAAGAAATATTAGTTAGAAAGAAAAAAGAAAGATAGATTAGTTAGAAAGAAAGAAAGATTAGTTAGAAAGAAAAAAGAAAGATAGATTAGTTAGAAAGAAAGACAGACAGACTAGTTAGAAAGAAAAAATATTTGTTAGAAAGAAAGATTAGTTAGAAAGAAAGAAAGAAAGATTAATTAGAAAGAAAGATTAGTTAGAAATAAAGACATATTAGTTAGAAAGAAAAAATATTTGTTAGATAGAAAGAAAGATAGATTAGTTAGAAAGAAAGAAAGTTAGTTAGAAAGAAAGAAATATTAGTTAGAAAGAAAAAAGAAAGATAGATTAGTTAGAAAGAAAGAAAGATTAGTTAGAAAGAAAAAAGAAAGATAGATTAGTTAGAAAGAAAAAAGAAAGATAGATTAGTTAGAAAGAAAGAAAGATTAGTTAGAAAGAAAAAAGAAAGATAGATTAGTTAGAAAGAAAGAAAGACAGACAGACTAGTTAGAAAGAAAAAATATTTGTTAGAAAGAAAGATTAGTAAGAAAGAAAGAAAGATTAATTAGAAAGAAAGATTAGTTAGAAATAAAGACAGATTAGTTAGAAAGAAAAAATATTTGTTAGATAGAAAGAAAGATAGATTAGTTAGAAAGAAAGACAGATTAGTTAGAAAGAAAAAAAGATAGATTAGTTAGACAGAAAGAAAGATGGATTAGTCAGAAAGAAAGAAGGATTGATTAGTTAGAAAGAAAGATAGAGCAGTAAGAAAGAAAGAAAGAAAGAAAAAAGAAAGATTAGTTAGAAAGAAAGAAAGATTAGTTAGAAAGAAAGAAGGATTGATTAGTTAGAAAGAAAGATAGAGCAGTAAGAAAGAAAGAAAGAAAAAAAGAAAGATTAGAAAGAAAGAAAGAAAGATAAGTTAGAAAGAAAGAAAGATAAGTTAGAAAGATAGATCAGTAAGAAAGAAAGAAAGAGATTAGTTGGAAAGAAAGAAAAAAAGAAAGATTAGGTAGAAAGAAAGAAAGATTAGTAAGAAAGAAAGAAATATGGATTAGTTAGAAAGAAAGATTAGTTAGAAAGAAAGATTAGTTAGAAAGAAAGAAAGAAAGAAAGATTAATTAGAAAGAAAGATTAGTTAGAAATAAAGACATATTAGTTAGAAAGAAAAAATATTTGTTAGATAGAAAGAAAGATAGATTAGTTAGAAAGAAAGATTAGTTAGAAAGAAAGAAAGTTAGTTAGAAAGAAAGAAAGATTAGTTAGAAAGAAAAAAGAAAGATAGATTAGTTAGAAAGAAAGAAAAACAGATTAGTTAGAAAGAAAGACAGACTAGTTAGCAAGAAAAAATATTTGCTAGAAAGAAAGATTAGTTAGAAAGAAAGAAAGAAAGATTAATTAGAAAGAAAGATTAGTTAGAAATAAAGACAGATTAGTTAGAAAGAAAAAATATTTGTTAGATAGAAAGAAAGATAGATTAGTTAGAAAGAAAGAAAGACAGATTAGTTAGAAAGAAAAAAAGATAGATTAGTTAGACAGAAAGAAAGATGGATTAGTCAGAAAGAAAGAAGGATTGATTAGTTAGAAAGAAAGATAGAGCAGTAAGAAAGAAAGAAAGAAAGAAAAAAGAAAGATTAGTTAGAAAGAAAGAAAGATTAGTTAGAAAGAAAGAAGGATTGATTAGTTAGAAAGAAAGATAGAGCAGTAAGAAAGAAAGAAAGAAAAAAAGAAAGATTAGTTAGAAAGAAAGAAAGATAGGTTAGAAAGAAAGAAAGATAAGTTAGAAAGATAGATCAGTAAGAAAGAAAGAAAGAGATTAGTTGGAAAGAAAGAAAAAAAGAAAGATTAGGTAGAAAGAAAGAAAGATTAGTAAGAAAGAAAGAAATATGGATTAGTTAGAAAGAAAGATTAGTTAGAAAGAAAGAAAGAAAGATGAATTAGTTAGAAAGAAAAGTTAGAAAGAAAGAAAGATTAGTTAGAAAGATTAGTTAGAAAGAAAGTAGTTTGAAAGAAAAAAAGATTAGTTAGAAAGAATAAAAAGTGGCTCCCCAAAAAGCTCCCCAAAGTGGCTCACACACAGACTGTTGCTGCCCAGAGTGAAGCGCAGGGTGGATGAGAGATGGTTTGGCAGACCCATCTTTTCAGGGGTCTTGGTCTGCTTGTTTGGTGACACCAGGGTTTGAATGTGAGCGTTCACATTATTCAAATGAACCGCACTGTTTTCACACCTATAGATTGTTTGTTTTGTTCTGAAACAGGGACTTAATTTGTTACAATGTCGAATTTTTTTCTTGATTCGGTTCGCTTTCACAAGGCAACCTTTCGAAGCGTACCAAAATGTGTAGCAAATGTGCCAAAACACACCAGGTTCCGAAACAAATGCTCAGGAGTGAAAACACCCTAACAGAGCAATCGCACCAGGGTTCGTTTTAATCGAACCGAACATGCCAAGTGTGAACACCCTTATGCCTCGTTTCCACCGAGCGGTACAGGACAGTGCTAAGAGTGCTCCGATTGATCGGTCGCCGATCATAATCGGCCGATAATCGCTTTAGGATGTTTGATCGGCAGTCTCTATAAAGGTCGAATTAAAGAGCATGCAAATGAGTATTTAAAAAGTTTAAATTCAGAATTGATATATATATATATATATATATATATATATATATATATATATATATATATATTTACTATTCTAGTAGGCTCCTTAATTCATATTGCAAGAATATGTATCTTTGGTCTAAATGATTGATACAAGGAGCTATTACTGAAATGAATAGTGTACCGGTAGTTGTGTTATTCTTTTGTGTAGGCTGGTATTTCCTTCAAATTCTGTTAAATTTGCTGTAATAAGCATTTAGAAAAGTTACAAAATGCCTGTAATGCCTTTGTTACCAAAAAAATATTTTTGGGGGACATGAATTGCAATATCGCAGAATCGAATCGCAATACTTGCAGTATTGCACTTGCAGTATGTTAAGAATCGCAATAATATTGAATCGTGGCCCAAATATCGCAATACTATCGAATCGTCACATTTTTGCCCATTCCCACCCCCCTATAAAGTAACACAGTAAATAACAATGGAGAACATACAGCAGACCTTGTTCTTGCTTCTCGGCATGTGGCTGTTTGTCACAAGAATAAAGGGTATTGTATTTGTACTGTATTAAAAAATGGCACCTTTTGTGTTGTCAATCCCCTTGTAGCACGCACAAGTGACGATTCTCTGTCAACCAATCACAGTTCTGCAGTGAGTCTAGCTCCACCCTTTAGTACCGTACTACTGTTCCAGGTACCCCAAAGGAAGGGTCCCAAAAAAGTGGCACGGTACGGTTCGGAATTAGGGTATCATGCACAACTTCTGACAATGAAAATGGCTAAAAATTGCGTACCGTACAAAAAGTCTCTGACCGTACTGAACTGAACTGTACTGTACCGCTAGGTCGAAACAAGGCATTAGTTTCATTGTCCAACCATTGTACCTGCAGGACAGATCAATTAAAGATCAGTAAGATTTTTTAAATAAATTATTTTAATCAGGATGCATTACATTTATCACAAGACATTTATACTGTTACAAAATATTTATATTTATCTATTAATAAATGCTGTTCTTTTGAACGTTCTAGAATTAGTAATAATGGAGTCATTTAATTATCAAAAACATTATTAACCCTCCCACATTTTTGAAAACACTCTGATGCTGTTGTCTAGAACAAATCAATAAATCTCTTAATAAGTAATCTGACCTGAATCGGGATCAGTACAAATCTCCCTGTAAGTTACTTCAGTCCATTACGAGCATGTGAATGTTGTTTTGGGCCTGTGTGTGAATGACAGCTGAAGCGCGCGCACACACTCACACACACACACACACTGCTACAAGTGTCAGATCAAACTGTCACCGATCTTGTGGCTCTTTGCTACTATTCTCACAGCAAAGCACCCGAACGGCAAATGTTATTCCAGTTTTTACTGCATGAGCTTGTGTTATTAGCTAACGTTAACATCCCAACAGTCGAGCTAACAGCTGCTCAAGCTAACCAGCCCAACTGCTTATAATGGTCAAAACGAGCACAACTCAGACATTTAACAGCATAATCGTGTAAAAATGTGTTTGATACATTACCTGGATCCGCTGATGTCATATCTTAGAGGTAAACGTGTTCTCTTGCGAGCGAACAAATACAAAACAACTTTCCCAGCTGCAGAGAAAAATCTCCCTGTCCAATGTTTGTTTCTTTTTCCAGTGCGGTTTTACTTCAGTTCGAGTCTTTCAAAAGTACTTTAAAACCGATGTCATGAATTTAAACCGAGTGTCATCCTCACCGCAGGCCCGAACGGACGGGTTTGCAGACGTATAATAGCAGTTGTTTTTCTTTTCTGCTCTTTGACTTTTTCCAGTTTAAAAACCTCTCCTGATCCAAGATGGCGCCTGTAATCTTCCAGTAAGCAGCAGAAACGCGTCAGAAGAGGAAACTAGAGACTCTGCACGAGCTAGACGCGCCACTCTGCGTCCAAAGCAGCCTTTGCTGAAAACCATAGACTAAAAAAAAAATAGACTGAAACACACTGGCGTTGAGGTAGTAATGATGGGCGTATTTCGATGGACTGCTTCATGAAGCTTCAAAACCTTTACGAATCTTTTGTTTCGCATCAGCGGTTCGGACCGTGTGTCAAACTACCAGAGTCACGTGATTTCAGTAAACGAGGCTTCGTTGCGTCATAACTGTTTCGAAACGTTTCGTAATTTCAATCTCTGATCAGATTGATACATTTGTATTTGCACACGTTTTAATTAGACATTAGTAAAATTAAAAGGAATAATAATAGTTAATAGTCTCTTATTGGCTTGTTTAGCTGAGCCATCCATGGAACAAACAAAACAATTAAGCCCTGGAAATAGATGAAATGACACATATTACACAGACACTTGATATTTAATCTAATTATATGATTAGATAAATGCATTTGGTAGATTTTACTTTCAATAAAACATCTGCAATGTGTTTGTAAAAGGGTTTTTTATGCTTGTTTGACCTGAGTTTTTGTTGCATTTACACTGTTCTGACCAGGAGGGGTCACCAGCGTGCGGCGTTTCGAACACAGTTCACCTTTAGTAAATCTCGATCATAACATTAAAAGCCGAATTCTTGACATACTAAGTCATAATTATGGATTTCAAGTCAAAATTTCGACTTTTTATGTCATGATTATGACCTACATAATCTTTTTTTTGCTTATGTGGGAGAAATGGGCTTCCATACAATGGTTAAATTTCTTGTTCAAAGTATCTTATTATATTTTATTTAATTGAATATTGTTATTTTATGTGTATTACTGACACTTTATTGCTCTGTCAATATTGTTTGTAAAACAATCATTTAAAATTAAGTACACTGAAATAAAAATGAAATTACCGAGTAAAAGTAGTAGTAGTAAAACATACTAAAAAATATCCCAAATATAAAAATACAACATACACTACAGCGTATAACATTCAACATGACCTATAGTATTTTTATGTTTAAGATTGATGCATGTGGCGATTTGAATTTTGTTATTGGAGTCATTATGTGCTATTTTTTTTTCTTATAAATTTATACTGTAAACACGTTATGATATAGATGTAGCCTGAATGAATATTAGAATTATGACAGTTCGTTGGAGGGAAGGGGTTAAATAATTACAGACTGATGACGTCTGCTGAAAAGTGTTGAAAGATTTTTATATTTTGATAACAGATCAAGAATTAAGTATTTTTTTATTAGTAGTATTTGATTAACGTGCACTGACGAATCAAAATAAGAAAGGAACTTGCATTAAGAAAGCAAATATTATAAAAAACAATGTTGACTTCAAAGTAAGTGTAACAGTACTTATAAAACAATGTAACCAATCGCAGTAGCCTCTGAATGCCACGTGACTCCACACGGAAGAGACTCTCGAGTGGCATTTCTTCCATTCATTGAACATTTCTTTGCGTGCAATTCTTGTTCTGCATTCCGATTCAGAGGGTCTTAGGATGCTGAAGTTCACTTGCCTTTGACAGTTTCAGTGGTTCACTTGACATTTAAAATGTCCTACAACGCTAAATACAGCTAGACCAATTCGCCAATTATGACCGTTGTGAAAAATAATCACACTTAAGCATACTTAGAAAAAAAGTAGCCTACGTATTACAGAAACTGTGAACCATGTAGATTTGTTACGACAAGTGAAAACTCTGGTGGCGGACAACACCAAAACACAGATATTGTACCACAAAACACCAATAAAAAGTGTGAAAATCATTAGTAAGAGCAGCCATAAAATAAGTGTAGGCTTGTTTTTGTTTATACTAATTAGTGGTGCTAAATGTATTAGATTGAATTAGTTTTTAATAGAATTACGCCCTCTGGACAGAAATAGGCCTGAATTCTGGGAAATACCCAAATACAGCTAGACGACAGATTTCGCGAATTATGACCGTTGTGAAAAATAATCACACTTAAGCATACTTAGAAAAAAAGTAGCCGTATTACAGAAACTGTGTGTAATGTTTTTGAACACTTAAAGGGATAGTTCACCCAAAAATCACTTTCTTCTGCTGAACACAAAAGAAGATATTTTGAATGTCGGTAACCAACAGTTGCCATTGACCTCTATGGGAAAATAAAATAAAAAATACTATGGAAAGCAAAGGGGCTCATCAACTGTTTGGTTACCATCATTCTTTAAAAAAACTAAACAAATTTTGATGACAGTATTTTCCTTTTTGGGTGAGCTATCCGTTTAATTGCAATGTTATTGCAGTTAAATGAAAATGTATTGTAATTTAAATTGAATTAGCTGAATTTTTGTTGGACTTAAGTACAACTTGTAATTTCATAATTACAAATAGGTAGCCTACTGATAAGCATAAATGCTCAACTAAAATATACTTTATTGTCACTTTTACTGAAACTTGTGTCATGTAGCTATTTACATATACATGTAATTACACATTGTAATGATGAATTGGCAATGTAGTTCATTTGAAATATATGAAACTAATTTGGAATAACTAACAGTTAAAATTAAAATCAAAAACTTTACATGAGCTTTAGTATGTCAGAGAAATCAGACAAACACATCAGGTGTGACTCGCGTTCAGTATTTTATTGTTAACATTCTCCATAATAATATCATATTACAAAACACAGGAAAAATACAAAATAAAGATAACACTGTAATCTGACTCGGCAGCATTTGAAATGTACAGAGGACAATGGGAGGAATGATGAAATCAGAGAAGGACAGTGTGAACGAGATGTTTAAAATAAAATATTGTCCATAATTGTCCATAAATTCAATCTGAATGGAAATGTAAAGAGTACTGGCCGCTTTGAGTGAGATTCTCTCTATCTTTGGTTTGCGGCTTGTGAATATTCAGAATCTGTGTGACAACGAACATGCCGCGACTTTATCCAGTATGTGTTGCTCGGTGTTAGGAATAATAATAAATATGGGTTTAATATTATAAATTGAGGAATCACTTTATGGTAGTGGTTTGCCTGTCAAAAAAAAAAAAACCTTGTGTTGCCATGTAAAGTATATTATGGCAGTGTCCCGCATGGTTTTCCTTTGGTTTACACACTGTCTGTGTCAGAAAGTTTGTAATATTTGGCACAATATAGCCATTTTTAAAAGTGCACTCAGTAATTTTTTGTTTATAATGCGCTGGCTGATATGGCAGTCGTCTTGGGTTTATACTGACACTTAAGTGCAATGCAGTGAGGAAAACACACTGAGTGCACTTTTAAATGACATAAACATGGATGGAAGTACTGTATTTATAGAAGTAAAAAACAATCCCACTGTATAGTTGTTTGGCAAATTTTTGTCATTCGCCATTTCAATCGAAATCCATGCAATCGGGAGTTTCGCGCGAGGGTGAGAGACTTTCAACAACGCATATTGAACATGGATTTGCCGCATTGACAAACAGAAATCTGCTTGATTTAAGTGACTTCTGTGTGAGCTGTTCATACGTCGCTACGCTATTCACAATAGACAATGGAGATATTTTTTTGACAGCAAAATTTCGCTACTGTGAAAGCACCTTAAGACTAAACAGCTTTGTATTCAAATGTACTTCAGTTGTGACTGAATATACAGTATATTGTTTATATTTCATTAAGAGTGATGCAGTTCCGGAAGTAAAAACTCAATTCATTTTCTCCATAGAGAGAACTTATAAACCTTTAAAGACAGACCTTCTGTGAGCTACGAGGTTAATCGATGGTATTTGATTCTGTTGAAGCCATCAGTCTGAATTATATCAAAATAATAGTGTTTAACAATGGAATTTGTGGTGGAAAACTACATTACCTGTTATGCTGTATAGAAAATGCCACCAATCAAAGCAAAACAAGCTAATAGATCTCTTTAGCTCCGCCCACTCTCACAAAGCACTGCGAATGATGTAATCGAACCTCCCTACGCTCTAAAAATACTAAAATATTTGTATATATTTGCATATTTTGCAATAAACGTTACATATATGTATATATATATATATATATATATCAACATTTATAGTTTTATATTTCTCTATAATTTTTTATTTGATTGTGCTGTTCACAACGCTTCATGGGATTGTAGTTCTTTCTGTCTCTAAAGCTGTGAAGTGTTCAAATACGTTTGTGCTTAAAGTCAAAGTTTGTAATGTTGTTATTCACCTCGTAGACACCTTTAACAAAGACTTTAAAAAAAAATCCTATGGGAATTAATGTAAAAAATACTTCCGGAACCAGCGCCGCTATTCTGAGAAAACTTTATAACTTGCAACTGCGAGTTTTATTTCTCATAATTCTTATAATAAAAAAAAAAAAAAAGAGATTGTGAGATATAAACTTTATTTCTCACAATTCCGAGTTTCTCACAATTCTGACTTTATTTCTCTGAGTTTTTCTCGTTTTCCTCAGAATTGTCAAATGTAAATGCGAGTCATAAAGTCCAAATTGCAAGAAATAAACTCACAATTGTGAGACAAAAATTGGCAATTATCTTTTTTGACTTTTTTTATTCCATAGGAAAGAGATTGCAGAAAACCCACAAGAAAAGCAAGGCATGAAAAAGAGCAAACGATGGCAAAGGAAGGCACTATTTAAAGGGACAGCTCACCTAAAACAAGTGTTCTGTCGTCATGTTGTCCACAACCCACATGGCTTTTTTATTTAGGACATACAAAACTCAAGTTTAGCATAATGTCTGAGCTGCTCTCTTCCGTACAATAAAATTAGCTCTAGAATGCACAAAAATGCACCATAAAAGAAGTCCGCACGACATGAGCGCTTCATTTCAAGTCGTACAACAGCTTCGAGACTGAATATCTTGCTTGACTACTGTGGTCACCATTGACTTTCATTCTATAGGCAAGAGCAGTTTGGACGTTCTGCTATAAATAACTCCAAGAAAGTCATAGAGGTTTGGAACAACATCAGTAAATGATATTGATTTTTAGGTGATCTGTAAGGCAGCGTTGCTCTCTGTTTGGCACTTGGGATCGATGTGCCTGTGTTCATGTGATGACTGTTACTGTAAGTGTGTGTGTGTGTGCGTGTTTGTCTGTACTCTGTAGTGTACAAAGCGATTATCTGTTCGTAAAACTGGGATTGTTCCTCTGTTCTTCACTCCTCTCTGTTCTGCTTCAGGAGAGTCTTTGTGTTTTTGAGCATTTCTCCTGTCCTCTCGGGACGTCACTCTGCTTTAGAGTGGTGGTTGTTGTTAGCGTGACCATTCTGAGCTGGTCCGTTTTTCTTTATCTCTCCATTTTTCATCTCATCGTCCTCCTCGGACTCCGTCTCGTCTCTATCGGACCTCTCGTCTTCAACCGACGACTGTTGAGTAAGAACAGGAGAGAATCACTAAGACGGCTGATTTAAAGGGATAGTTCATCCCAAATAGAAACTTCTGTCACCTGTATGACTGTCTATCTTCCAGGGAACAAAACGTGTGATATTCATAAAATGATTTTTGAATATAACAGCTCATGGACCAACTGTCCAATTCCCCCCAAAAAAGCATAAATGCGATAATGACTCTTTAATTGTATTGAATTTGCACTTGTGGTGTATTTCAAATCTTCCATTTAAAAAAAAATACTGGCAGATAATACAATCTTAATTAAAATATTATTAAAACAAAATGATATAAAATGTACTTTAAAGAAAACCTTTATTCTGATATTATTAAAGTGCACTTTTTAAGTGTGTTAAGAAACATAGTCATGAAAGTGTCTCTCCTTAAAGAAGTACGCTTATTATTAAGTGCTTGAGAGTACAATTTTAACTGTAGTGTGTTATCCAAAATTAGATTTAAAGTTAATATATTTTAAACATACTAAATTCAAACTATATCATACACCAGACACACGTCAGCAGCGTCTTACGTCAGCAGCGGCACTAAACGCGGATCGACAACAGAACCGGAAGACAATACAATGCTGAATAAAGTCGTAGTTTTTGTTATTTTTGGACCAAAATGTATTTTCGATGCTTCAAAACATTCTAACTAACCCACTGATGTCACATGGACTACTTTGATGATGTCTTTATTTCCTTTCTGGACAAGGACAGTATACCGTACATACATTTTCAATGGAGGGACAGAAAACTCTCGGACTAAATCTAACATATCTTAAACTGTGTTCTGAAGATGAACGGAGGTCTTACGGGCTTGGGACGACATGAGGGTGACATTAATGACATAATTTTCATTTTTGGGTGAACTAACCCTTTAAACCACCAAACCTGTCCCTAACCTTACCCGTATCCCACCTCAAGTGTCTTGCAATACACCAAGACGACAATAAGCACATTGTAGCCATTGGCGAACTTTGTTTTAAATAGTGGCTGGGACAGGAGTGTGTGTGTGTGTGTGTGTGTGTGTGTGTGGTTCTTAATGTTGCTAATACAAGGCTATGTCAGAAATGTACAATAAGTAAGTATAGACACCCTAATATAAAGTGGGACCAAACTGGTAATTGTAAATGTGTTAGTCATACTTTACAGAGAATTTGCCTTTCTCAAATTTGTGTTTAGTCACCCCTGGTCTCCCATGTGTACAACCTTACACTATTTTCATGAGATAAACGGAAACACCGTTTATCTGTTACTGATAAAACTGTGTAAAAAAAGTGCATATGAATTCCCACAGACGTACATTACAGCTCAAGAAGCGGAAGGCCAGGCGTATGATCAGAGCGGCCCAGAAGATGTGCAGACACAGCAGAACCATCAGCAGCCCGTTAAAGAAGTAATATCCAAAGAAAGGAGGGTACAGGGTCACGGGATACACCCACGTACAGTACATGATCCTGTGAGAAAGACAGAAACACATGAGTTATATGCAGGGCTTGACATTACGTTTTTTCCTCAGTAACCACTCAGCATTTTCACTGGCCACAATTGTGCTGTTGGGAAATTGCCTTTTATTAGGGGTGTGACGATACACTTAGCTCACGAGATGAGATGATACACGAGAACAAGACGAGACAATATTTGAATGCTATTTTTAAGAAATCTTCAATGACGATATATGACTGGAAAAATGGTCTTTTATTCGACTGAATGTTACAAAATGCAAAACAAAGCGGGTGCATTTTGAAATGTTTTAACTAATCTAGGGTTGTCACTAAAGATTATTTGGGTAATTGAGTAATCAGTCGATTATTTTGACGATTAATCAAGTAACTGGATAATATTTTTTTGTGTGGTAGTAAAAATATTTTTTTGTGTGGTAGTAAAAATAGACCAATAAACCATAGCCTTTAAAGGGGTCCTATTATGCCCTTTTATGAAGTCTTGATATTGTTTTTGGGGTAGTATACTAGAATATGCTTTCATGCTTGATAGTTCACATATTTTACATTATTACAGCACCTCTCTCCCGGGTCTGGCCTGAACACGCCGCTTAGTTTCGGTTTAGATGAAGCACCTCCTTCCGAAATGTGAAATGTGCTGTGATTGGTTAGCTGGCCCAGTGTCTTGTGATTGGCACGCCCCTAACCATAACCGCGAGCTCTACTGAGATGTAAATATTAAGGATGCCAACTTCAAACCAATTCAAGCCTGATTTAGACTTAACAATGTTAACAAACAAGAGGATCACGCGGAACGATTTCAAGCACGGACTTTGCAAGCACAGATTTCACAGGACGTTTCAGAGTGGCATGTTTATAATTTTCTTATACTTTTTCAGTCTTTATCATGATACTTGTGGGGAAACTATGGTAATACAAACAGTAACAGTAAAACCTAAGGAGCGGTGAACCATCTTACAAAAGCGTCTCTTTAACATAGCGACAACACTGGCCCCTTTCACACAGCCATCCCGGCAAATTACAGGAAAATTGGCAGAACGAATTTACTGGTAATTTCAAAAATGTGCTGGTCACACAAGCAACAGCGTTCTGTTTTTTTTTGTTTTACCAGTAATAGACAATTCACACATCAGTCACAAAATACTGGTAAACTCTGTGATGATGTCATTAACTGGAAGTTTATGCCTTGTTCCAGGAGAAGGCTAGTTATTTTATCATATGTGACAGTATCACTAACTTTTATTGACAAATCTCTTTATCCGACCGGACGAGCAGAAGCGCTTTAGTTTCAGTATCACTGAAGACATTTGTAAACAGTGATGAGTAAACGCGTCATAATTTTATGAATGGCCCAGAGCCGTTGCTCTATCAACGGCTTCTGATTGGCCCATATAACTTCTTACATCAGCGCGTTCTGACCTTGTACGTGCAAAATACCGGTAATCTTCATTCTGTGTTCACACAGCGCATATACTGGTAATTAACTGGTAATGTTACAACTTCCCGTATTTTTGAAATGGTCCTGTTCACACATGATCTGTTACCGGTAATTTACCAGTAAAGACTGTATGTGTGAAAGGGGCTACTGTCTTTTCTAACGCAGCGCTCCCTTTTTTTGCATATTCTGTGGGTGGGGATTATTTAAATGAGTAACTTTATGACTTCACAAAGGCCGGAAAAAAATGCGTTGTAGTTCAAACAAGTCATTCGTTGTAGTTCTTGAAAATTGAATTCTGTTAAATAAAATATCTCCCTTTGGAGTGGACTTTGAGCTTTGTAACCTTGCAGATCTTTTTTATTCTCAAACAGAAACATTACATACTAACTAAAGTGAAAAAAGTGAAAAAGCATAATAGGACCCCTTTAAAATGGCTTAAAATAAAGTATCAAAAGCAAGTAATTACATTATATAAACAATCAACTTTTGTACATTATTTATTATAACAAATGCCTGCAGAGGTGCCAACGGCCTGCCGATTGTTGTTACACTTTACAGCATGATCAAATCCTTGTTTAATATTGGCCAAACAACATTTAATTCAAATGTCCATTTAATATTTAATATTTGGACACTTCTTTACGATAAAAATGCTTCAGCCACTGTAATTTCTTGAACAATGATATTGCGATGAACAACAATTTGCATATTTAGAAAAATATTAATGTATTCTCCTGTATTGGCTTAGGGTTATAAATGAAGGTGAAATGTGAAATGACGGTGAAATGACGCATGTTGCGTTTCCAGATGTACGACCGTTATAAGCAACCCAAACTCACAGGGCACACAGAGAGTTTATCAACCGAGCTGCTGAGACGCATGTAAATGATAACAGTGCAACTTCGCGTCAAACTTTATGCGTTCCCAAATGCACTTTTTCGGAAACCTAAACAAACGGCACATGCAGAGACTGAGTTTGTGTGGAGCAGCGTTTACTGTGAACAGAGCCGCTCTGAGACGCTGGAAGAAACACGTAACCCTGCAGGCATGTCGAACTTCACTCTGAAACCTGCAGTGTGTCACAGGCCGTTTCTCAATATGCGTTCTTGTCTGTACTTGTGTTCTTGTGGACTTGTGAAACGTCATCAGTCACTGCCCAAGTACTGTTCCAATTCAAAGTTCACATCTAGCCAAGTCCAATTCAAATCCCCGGATGTGTTCTTGATCCGCCCCGTTTACCGAGGATGCATCAAGAGGTGACTTCAAGGTGCGGACTTGAGACAGCCAGGCATCCCAGAATCCATCTCGCACCAACCAGCAAGCGTCAATAGCAGAGGAGAAAACCCACGTAATATCAAACTACTACTGTTATTGTGTCATGAAATTTAATTTTATGAGTGTTTCAGGCGAGAATGTGGTTGTTTAAAGCTCAAATCTGTGGTTTATTTATAAAGATAGCGCCTATTTGAAAAATTTATCTGACGTTTTCGGAGTTGTGACATCCAGGCGTTCACCGGGTGTTCAACGCTCATCAACCCCGACTGGAACAGCTATTCCTCAGCTAATGCTTCTGACGTTTGCCGCTGGCTCAGATGTCTCTAGTCTAGTGGATAAACTTGACGTATAATTCGTCTTGTGTATAAGTCGATCTTTGGTCTCATTAAACTATTGTTTGTTCCATGGCAAAAAAATCCTTTTTGGCTGAGGGCAAAGTGAAGTTTCATAACTTTATATATTTAGGCTATTTAACTTTAACTTTGTAGCCTAGCCTATTAGAGAGCTTACTTATGTTTGAATTGTTTGCCTTATTTATCATTGTAGATATTATTGATCATTAAAACTGACATTTAACAAAAAGAGACATACTTTAAATATATATATATTTTTATATTTATTTTAACATTCTCTTCACTATATGTACAATAAAATAAAATGACACAACCCTGTCTCTGTTTGTTAAATGTCAATAAAAATCAATAATGTTTCATATTTTTAAAATGAAAACAAAAAGATCATGTTCATGTTGTTATAAATATATGCAGTGAAGATAATGTACGCGTTGCCAGCCTGAACCACATGGCCATTAGGCTACTATGTTTAAGATTTTTAAATGAAAAGAGGCAGAGTGGTGTTTTATAACATATTTCGTTTTATTGTTGACGAAAAGAGGCTGAGTTGTAGCATATTTCGTTTTATTGTTGCCTAAAATATACATAAAGAGATAACCGGAGTAGCCAGAGCATGCTGAGTGATGCGATCAAGAACGCGCTGTTCCATTTGCAGAATAACCGGACTTGCGTCCTCTCGTCCTCGGGAGTTCGTTCTCCTGAGTCGAACTTGGCAAGTCCGAACTACCAAGGACGCAAGTCCGAAGTTTGCGTACTTGGTATTGAGAAACGGCTACAGTCACCCCAGTCACATGTCTTCCTTTGTTCTGTTTTCCTGCCACTCATCTGTTTCTATGGTTACTGTCATTTAGTTCATCATCTGTTCCACCTGTGTCTAGTTAATCATCATCTGCGTCACCTGGTTTCTGTTAATCTGTGTTCATCAGTGTTTGTATTTAGTTCCTTTCAGTTCAGCCAGTCTTTGTCCGTTCTCAGTCTTATTTAGTGTGTGTGTGTTCATCCTGCCTGTCTGTACCTGTTGGAATAATATTTATAGTAAAAGTTTGTCTTGGAGCTTTTTGCCTATTCGTCTTCTTCAGCCTACACCACACCGTGACAGAGTGCATATATTTATTTAACTGAATAAAAAATTCAGCCTGTAAAATGTGGCTAGTGGGAGTGACTGTGTTACACGCCACTGCTGAAATGTCAAGCCCTGGTTATGTGACAGCAACTGTAAGAGCCAATTGAATATCTGAACAGTTTGTATATGAATTATCATCTCTTTGCTTCTTGTTGTTTGTTTGAGGTAACAGTAAATTTAAGGTGCTGTTCTATATTTTTATTTTGTAATGCAATGTATTGTAATGCAAATTATATTCCTGTATTCATGTCTATTTATGTATTTTCTATATTATTTCTTATGATTTTTCTGATGTTTAATTCCTGTTGTGTTTCTCTATTAGCCGCTCCTACCTATTTGAATATACATGTTGAGACCGGTTTAGACTTCTTTCAGTCGGACTTTAGGATTAAACTTGTGTTTAAGGTGTATAAGACAACACAAGTTTTTATTTTATTTTTTTGTATTTTGTGGTTTGGTTTTTGATTAAAGTCATACTTTTTCACTTTATGATGAGTAAGAACTGTTCTCCTGCCATGTAACATTAGCTCTGCTGCAAAACCTAGTGAGCCGCCTTTCTGTCTACTGCCTACATAGGGAGCTGCCTTCTAAGGCATCATACTAATTTGCAATGATTTACTGTATTACACACACTTCGTAGTCTGATGGCTAAAACAGAGATGCTCAGGAGGAGCTTCTTTCCTCAGGCCGTCAGACTACTCAACTCGGACATAACAAACATTGCACTTTAAGGACTCTGATGATGATGTTTAATACATGGTACTGCACTTATGCACTTTACTAGTTAGTTTTAATACTATTTTAAAATTGTTACATCTTTTAAATAATATTTAGGGTATGTTTTTATTACACAGTCGATAGGAATACCAGACTTACATTTCACTGCTCGTTTTATGAACTATAACTGGTATGTGACAAATAAACTTTGAACTTGAACTTGAAAACTTACTTTGTCTTTGTTCTCAATCAAACAATTTAACACCTGGCTTTACTTACACTCACCTAAAGGATTATTAGGAACACCATAATAATACTGTGTTTGACCCCCTTTCGCCTTCAGAACTGCCTTAATTCTACGTGGCATTGATTCAACAAGGTGCTGAAAGCATTCTTTAGAAATGTTGGCCCATATTGATAGGATAGCATCTTGCAGTTGATGGAGATTTGTGGGATGCACATCCAGGACACGAAGCTCCCGTTCCACCACATCCCAAAGATGCTCTATTGGGTTGAGATCTGGTGACTGTGGAGGCCATTTTAGTACAGTGAACTCATTGTCATGTTCAAGAAACCAATTTGAAATGATTCGAGCTTTGTGACATGGTGCATTATCCTGCTGGAAGTAGCCATCAGAGGATGGGTACATGGTGGCCATAAAGGGATGGACATGGTCAGAAACAATGCTCAGGTAGGCCGTGGCATTTAAACGATGCCCAATTGGCACTAAGGGGCCTAAAGTGTGCCAAGAAAACAACCCCCACACCATTACACCACCACCACCAGTCTGCACAGTGGTAACAAGGCATGATGGATCCATGTTCTCATTCTGTTTACGCCAAATTCTGACTCTACCATCTGAATGTCTCAACAGAAATCGAGACTCATCAGACCAGGCAACATTTTTCCAGTCTTCAACTGTCCAATTTTGGTGAGCTCTTGCAAATTGTAGCCTCTTTTTCTTATTTGTAGTGGAGATGAGTGGTACCCGGTGGGGTCTTCTGCTGTTGTAGCCCATCCGCCTCAAGGTTGTGCGTGTTGTGGCTTCACAAATGCTTTGCTGCATACCTCGGTTGTAACGAGTGGTTATTTCAGTCAAAGTTGCTCATCTATCAGCTTAAATCAGTCGGCCCATTCTCCTCTGACCTCTAGCATCAACAATTTTCGCCCACAGGACTGCCGCATACTGGATGTTTTTCCCTTTTCACACCATTCTTTGTACACCCTAGAAATGGTTGTGCGTGAAAATCCCAGTAACTGAGCAGATTGTGAAATACTCAGATCGGCCCGTCTGGCACCAACAACCATGCCACGCTCAAAATGGCTTAAATCACCTTTCTTTCCCATTCTGACATTCAGTTTGGAGTTCAGGAGATTGTCTTGACCAGGACCACACCCCTAAATGCATTGAAGCAACTGCCATGTGATTGTTTGATTAGATAATTGCATTAATGATAAATTGAACAGGTGTTCCTAATAATCCTTTAGGTGAGTGTATAAAGTATAATCTAGCTTATATCCACAGAAACACTAGCCTGGTTAAAACCAGACCATTCTCAGTTGTAACTGAGTTATGGTCTGGCAAAGCGTCATAGACAAATCATTTCCAGAGGGCCGTCACCAACGGACGTCGCGGATAGACCTAAAACCAATCAGAGCGATGAAGGAGATGACGTATGCAGAGCGGCGGAGAATCTCTGAGTGTTGTTCTTTGCTCGGTTTTTAACAAAAAGGAAACGTTCAAATCACTTAAAACAGACGCGATAGCTGATTCGAACGAGTGATGTTCGACGGCGGCATCCATCTTTGTAATGTAGGCTACAAAATCTGCTTCAAAGTCCCAGCGCTGTCGTCATCGTGTAAAGCCCGCCCCAACGTTTCTGATTGGTGTCTCGATTTCGACGGATTGGAAATGGGCTTGAATGAGCTCTTTGCCAGACTAACTTTCAGAGCAAATCTAAATTTGCCGGAAGTTGTCTGGGTTTTCCCAGGCTACAGAAACACACAACAACTGTATCATAATCGAAACTGGTGATGACAACATGTGTGTGGGGAGAAATAGAGAGAGAGACAGATGAGATGTGTACCGGAAAGGGAAGATGATGAGGCGTGTGACGATGAAGATCGCAGCAAACAGGATGAAGATGTAGTTGCATGCGTTCTTCCATCTCGCGTAGTTAAACATCTTAGCTGACTGAGAGAGAGAGAGAGAGAGAGAGAGAGAGAGAGAGAGATGATATGAGGGAGAGAAACTGATGTGTATAGAAGAGATAGAGGGAGACAGAAATGGTTTTTCTACTGATCTGTTCTTTATCCAAAACAAAAGTTTGGGGTCTATAAGATTTTTGTAATGGTTCTGAAAGTCTCTTATACTTACCAAGGCTGAGTTAATTTGATCAAAAATACAGTAAAACGACAATATTGTAAAATATTATTGTAATTTTAAAAAGCTGTTAAATATATTTTGTAAAGGGTAATTTACTTCTGTGATGCAAAGCTGAATTTTCAGCATCATTACTCCAGTCTTCAGTGTCACATGACATTTTAACCACTAATATTCACAACATCTATCCTAGTCCACTCTCTTGACAATATCACAATGACGTCCCATTGGGTCTCTGTCTCTGGTTGTTCTACTCACCTCTAGTAGATAGTCAGCTGAATCATGCATGAACATGATGAGCGTTCCCGCTCTGATGTAATTAACACACCAGGAGAAACTGATCAGCATGATGGTGGCCACATGATGAATGATCTGCTCTTTGAAGTCCTGGAAGAAAGCGTAATATAATGCTGATATCTTTATACCATTATGAGATGTACATACTACGCCTCTCATTATAAAGACAACAGTGCAATAAAAAAGAACTCAATCATGATCCCTGACTCACTAGTTTATAGTTTAAATTACACACAGCTAATACATTTCATGTGTTTAAACAGTCATTTCAGTTGTTTATCATTTTTTTCCTTTCCCATGAGGTCCAGTTATAATGTTAGTCAATATATCTTTCATAATTTTGTTTATAATGACCATTTTCCACCCTCCTTGAGTGGAGTTGTGTGAATATTAACATATATTTGAACAGTATTTGAACGAACTCGATGTTGCAACAGAAACTATGACATGGACATGGTTGCTCCTTTGCGCTTAAAGAAGATTAAGGAAAATAGTATAACACCGTTGTATAACGAGCACACTCTCGCCCTAAAGAGAGCAACCTGAAAAAATTTTGCGCAACTGGAACAAAGCAAAACTAGAGGTATTTCAAATTTCGTGGCAGGAAAGTGTTATTGCATACAGAAAGGCCTTAAAAACAACTAGATTTGCTTACTTTTCGACTCTCTTAGAAGTAAACAAACACAACCCTAGGTATTTATTTGATACAGTGGCTAAATTAAGGAGTAATAAGGCTTCAAATTCAGACGTTTCCAAACAGAACAGCAGTAACGACTTTATGAATTTCTTTACTTGCAAGATTGATACTATTAGAAAGAAAATTATAATCATGCAAGCGTCTACTATCAGATGTCATGTTATAGACTCCCTGAGGAACAATTCCATTCTTTCTTTGCTAAAGAAGAGGAAGAATTGCCTAAAGTTGTTAAATCACTAAAGAACAATCACAACTGTGTTCCTTTTAAGAAAGAAATGGAATCTGCGAGGATTTCCAGTTAGGATAGACCATTACAAATGATTTGCTCTTATCATCCGATCGTGGATATATCTCTTTATTAGTGTTACTGGATCTTAGTGCTTCATTTAATGCATGGTTCATGGTTCAAATCATGCTTATGGTTCAAATCATACTTATCTGACTGTTACTAATTTGTAGCAGTAAATTAAGAGGTTTCATATTGATCACAAGTTCAGTACAGGGTACGGCAAGGCTCAGTACTAGGACCGTTTGCTTTTCACCCTGTACATGTTACCCTTGGGAGATATCATTAGGAAGTAGAGCCCGACCGATATATCGGCGGGCCGATATTATCGGCCGATGTTAGGCATTTTCCGATAAATGAATATTTTTAAAAATGCGGGTGCGGTGATTCATGTAAGGGTGGCGATGCCAATAAAGCACATAAAATCTGTCACAAAGAACTGACAAAAGTAATGATTGTGAATACATCAAATATATTTAATTGTTTATTAATAACGAGTCTTTTCAGTCAGTGTCGCTGCAAAGTTGACAACGCTGACTCGCGATCTTCAGTGAACACGCCAGAGAGAAATGCACATTTAATACGGATTACAGAAGAGGGCAGTCTGTCTTTCGCTTTGAATTGTTCTGTTTAAAACTAGACATTTCAATTTAGATATATGTCTCAGAGTCAGGTCTATACGCTGAGTTTTCGGTTCATTTATGAGACGATTTGCCGTTCACGCGCCGGCGCCTCCGTGTCGAGATTATCTATTGTCTGCTATATTTACTTCTTATTTATTAAATCCAGGCAATTTGTTGATGAAACATTTATTAAAATTAAGATACAATTAATACAAAACGAAATTCGCTTTAATGAAAGGCTTTGTGCTTTCTGTTTATGGTGAAAGTTTTAAAGCACGTTAGTGACGCTTTCAGAGCTTGTCACATCCGTAACATTGTTTTTTTCCTCATAAATGCGAACACGAAAAATAAAGTAAAATGAATATTTTATGTTCTGTTGAGAGCCAACCCTTCTTCATCCGGTTGGTAGTAGCATATTAGGCTACTTTTGATTTGCGCAGTGTAATTCACAGAATTGTTTTCTCTGCTACCAGCCTCTGTCACGTATTGTGTGAGCTTGTGATGGGGAAAGCGCGCAGAGGAATCCTGATTATATTGTCTGCTATAATTACTTCTTATTTATTAAATCCAGGCAATTGGTTGATGAAACATTGATTAAAATGCGTTGCGCGAGCGACAAATCTCCGACAGTAAACTGATGCCCCATTCTGCTTTGTAACGACGGGCGCTTTCTTTTTTTTTTTACTTGTTTAAAAATAGTATAAAAATACTGTAGGCCTACATATGTAATTAAAACGTTATCATTATGATATTTTTAATTTATTTTTAGTAAAAAGATCTGAGTTCTTCCTCCACTGGTAGAGATTAGAGGAATTAAGACTAAAAATAGAAGATAATAAGGTTTTGTCAGTGACACTTTTGATATATTTATTGATACAAGTTATGTTTTATATAATGCGACTAAATTAAAAGACAAAGTCGTTAGTGAAGATTATGCAACAGTATTTAGAATATAATATAATATAACATGCAATGCAAACTAGTTTGGTTACAGCTCAAATGTATCATTCTCATTATATCATTCACCCTGTCTCCATTACATTTATCACACTCACGCATGTGTTTGATCACCACATTTGAGTGATCATTGCAAAACATTTATATATTTATTCTGTTTGTATACTGTGTATTATAGTACCCATCAAATGTTTGTACACACCAATAGGAAAGTGTGTCCAAACTTTTGACTGGTACTGTACTATAATACACATACATAATATTGCTACTGTATTATAATATATAATATCGGCCGATATATCTGTATCTGGCTTTTTTTTTATCGTATCGGCATCGGCCCCCAAAAATCCATATCGGTCGGGCTCTATTAGGAAGCATGGTGTTTAAATTTTTTCGCGCCCTGACGTAACATACCAATTCACAAAATTAACAGAATGCATAGTTGGATATAAAAAATTGGATGCCTAGTAATTTCCTACTACTTAATAAAAAAATTAAAAAACAGATTCTAATTATTGGACCAAAAACCTCTGCATGTAATAATCTAGAATACTGTCTAACACTTGATGGAAGTCTTCGTCATCAGTTAGGAACCTAGGTGTGCTCTCTGATACCAATCTTTCATTTGAAAGACACGTGTCTAGCATCTGTAAAACCGCATTCTTCCATTTTAAAAATATATCTAAATTACGACATGTGCTCTCAATGACAAATGCAGAAAAGTACCTCAAGGCTACATTATTGTAATACTCTACTGGGTGATTGCCCTGCACGCCTAAAGGGTTAGTTCAACCAAAAATGAAAACTTACCCTCATGTCGTTACAAACCTGGAAGACCCTCAGACCTTTACCATAACATTAAGATTGAAACGCTGTAGTCACATGGACTGGGGGGGTCAGAAAGCTCTCAAATGGTCTGCGCGCCCAGCGCATTGTCTAAAAGGTTGTCCCTATTCTCTTAATGAGTAATGGGTGTGTTTTGGGCGCAACGTGCAAAAAAACAACCAGAGTCTCATCTCCCATTCCCTTTGCTATTTGCTATTTTTTTAAAAGATTTCTATTTACATGTTGGAATTTGTGAAAACCACCATATCTTTATGCACATAATATTAATCTTTTACATTGTAATCCTTTTATTTTTTATATTTGTCTAGTTTGTGTGCTGCTGTGCGTCTCTGTGTGTGTAATAAGCAGAGTGTACATGCGTTGTGGACCCGCCTATAGGCGCACATTACTAACGCGCTCTTTAAATAACAAAAAAAAAATACTGCGCCATTGACTTTAGACCAGGTTTCAGTTGGTCAATGGCGCAGTCTATTTCAGTTCCTCAAAATAGCAACACGCCAACAATGCACCTGAACACACCTTGTTTTCAGACCAGCAGCCCATGGGTGCATAAATAAGGCGCAAATGTATTTGCTATTTAAACTTCAACATATTAACTTCAAGACTTTTTAAAACTTCAAGATATTTAATATTCAACAATATAATTGATATGACTGTACTGACGCTGTTGTATGAGAACTGAACTGAGCTGGACGGTGACATCATTTTTTGCAGAAGTGCTTTATAGATTGAATTAACTAATTTAATAATTGATGACCTTTAAAAAGGATCTTAATCAACACTCAACTGACTTCAGCTGAACAACAGCAGAAATGCATCATTTTCCTGTTATCACTGTAAAGCCGCTTTGAAACGATCTGTATTGTATAAAGAGCTATTAAATAAAGGTGACTTGACACTATAAATGAACCCTTACAAGCTAAGTTGGTGGTATAAAAGTCCACATCACAGTTTTTAACTGCCATATGGAAGTAAAATAATGACAAACTGAGTTGCAACTTATTGCATTTACAGTGCTTGCATTTTTTATGCATTGTATTTTCTTGGGCTTGCATTTTTGGGGGCTTCAATTCAACATGGTTGCATATTTAATCTGTAAATATTCAAAAGGAAACATTTTAACACACAGTAGCATTTTTAAAAATACAACAATAAATAGGCCTATTCACAATAATTTAAAAATATTTTTATTAAAATTACCACTACAATATTTAATAGGCAATTTTTTTTTTTTTTGCATTATAAATTCACTTCCACAAATTCAGGTTCAAATGTTAATGTGTGTAAATGTTTTCCTTTTTCTGATTTTTTGCATCTACTTTTTTTTACTAAAAGTAGCACATGGAAACATATTCTAAACATATGTCATAAACCTTGCCGCAAAAACAAAACATCCTGCAGTGATTCCCATAAACTGCTGCTTTGAATACTGTTCTGCTAAAAAAATAAATTTCACAATAACTAGGTGTTTGAATAAAACGATTCATTGAGATGCAAAGATGAGGTTTGCAGTGTGATATGATGACGGTATGACTTATGGCAGACTTACTTTACGTTTGACATCAGATGCCACACTGAAAAGAAGTGAGGTGTAGAAACCCAGTTCCAGCATGTAGTACCAGTACTGAGACGGCAGGAGGATCTGAATGAGATACATACAGTTCACTGACTCAGAACTTTCAGCAATCTGTCATTTGATGACATGAGCTTTACAAATAATGTGTAAATTATCCTAATTTTATTGCTTATCAACAGACTTTATTGTTATCACTTGGCTGCAAATTCAGTTAGATGCTAATCATATTACTTGAGTAGAAGTGGGTGATATGACCAAAACCTTTATCAAGGAATTTATATCACATTTACGGTATCATTTATCATTGTACTTCAAATCTTAAAAGTATATATATAAAAAAAAAAAAAAATTGTACTTGCAGATAATATAATATTAATGAAATATAAGGCCCCTTAAGTGCAGTTTAAGACAGTACACTTACATGACCATGTTTCTTAAGACTTAAATGCATTTTTACAAAGTGCACTTTGCAATAATGTGAAATTAAAAGGTTTACTTTAAAGTACATTTTAAATATGCTTTAATAATCGTTTGTCGATAAAAAAGTACACTTATTTGATGTGTTTACTAACATACAAAAGCACATGTAAAGTTCTTTATAATTGTAACTGCCGTGTGTTATTCAATATTACGGTACATATATTTGAAATGTACAACATGTTCACACTTCAGTATGTTCTTTTAAAGTATATTATTTCCAGTATTCCGAAGCAAACTTTTTTCACAAGGGTTTCTCTCTTTATTTTGAACTTGATGGGTGCTAACAAAAAGATAAAAAAAGAGCTCCTATTCAAAGCTATGCAAATGCTTGGTTCTTATTCACCATATATGCAGCCCCTTACGAAAAAGAAGTTTATTCAAGTGTCCTATTAGTATACTTCTTTTAAACTAAAAATAAGAAAGTACTTCTCAAAAATATACTTTATGTACTTCTCAGAAATATACTTAAAATTACACTTAAGTGTACTTGACTTATACTGAGAGAAAAGTTCAAGTATATTTGGCCTGTACTTGTACTTTTGATATCTCTACTTTTGATACAGATATACCTTAAAGTATACTTTTATATACTAAAACTGGGCCAATTTAGTCCCAAGCAGTATTGAAATAGTACACTTACAAGTTTACTTCAAGTACACATTGATATTAGTATACTTACTACATAAAGTATACTTAAAAAGATACTTGAACATTACTTAAGTATACTTCATAAAATTAACTTGAAGTATACTTCTTTTTCTTAAGGGGTTTGTTTCTAATTGTTGTACTTTTGTCTACAGTATATTCTATTTGATGGAAATTACAAGATGCCCTTTAAAAAATGAGCAGCTCTACATGATGTCTGTCTTTAGTGTGTCATGTTTATAAAGGAGATATAACTCACCAGAGTGGGGAACCCTTTCCACATCTCCTTTAGATCGTACAACCAGGGTTTCTAGAGAAAGAGACAGAGGAAGGATTGTGTTATGCAATAAATCAGCAGAGGAAATAAAATCAGAGAGTTAAAACAGGCTGAAACTGCCAATGACTTACGTCTATCAGTGCAACAAGACCACCAATGAAGGCGAGAAGATAAAAGGCGAATCTCCAGCTATGAAAGAACAAAAGGGTCAAGGTTTAGTTAGTTAGTACGGTCCAGTTATTCAATGCTGGTAGATGCTGGGGTCTTTTTTCCATGTATGGGCATTCTAAAGAAAAGCTGTGTATAAATATTCTTCAAGTACTGTAACATAAAAAGACAAATATTTCATTATATTACAAGTTAGTGATGCACCGAAATTGATAACTGAAAGTATTTGGCTGAAAATTAATTCTTGGTTTCAGAAAAAACTGTTCTGGAGGGCCGAAATCATTCACTGAAATGATGACGTTTACAGGTTTTTTACAATCACTACGACCAATTTCCTGTAGCTCAATAATTAACTCTAGAGAGAAGCAGTTTAATAAATATAAGCATTATATTACATATTTATTATATTTTGACAACCTGTTGTCTTGATGTTTGAAAAAATCCATCATGAAAACAAGTTTTTATTACAGCCACCATTCAAATGATTATATTTTAACAACGAATTGGAGGAGAAACAGAATTATATCATTAAAAAGTCTTGTATGAGATCTAAAGTGACCCTATTATGCTACTTTAAAGGTTCCTAATTTTGTTTTAGAGGGCTCCTACAACAGGTTTACATGCATCCAAAGTAAAAAAAACCTGGCCTTCAACTCATTTCTCAAAGAGTCTGAAAAATATTAGTTTGAACTTCATTCTCCCAGTCTGTTGTGATTACCGCTTACAGCGAATGTCAGAGACGAAATGCCTATTACCATATTTAAATTTCAGCTTCCTCAGAGCTCGATACACAGTGACGCGAACAGTAATGACGATGTGGGTTTTTCAGTATCAATTCCAGCTCGAGTCCTCATCCTTGTGAAGTACATCAAAGTGGATTTGCAGTGATGAAAACAGCATATTCTCGACATGTGGACAACACGAATCAAACTCTTCCAGGCCTCAGCTAAAACTACAGTGTTTGGGGGCGGGTCAAAGTAGATGTGAAAAGTTTTGTTTCAGTTTCGGTGTTTCTGTATAAATAAAAAAAATCCACTAATTAGATTTTTTCACCACTATTTGATCAGTGACATTATTCAGGGTTGTCCCGCACTATTGAGATGGGAATGGAAATGCTACACAACTCTTTGGTTACTATAATGCACATCCTAAATGCATAGTTTCTTGCCATAGAATTCAATGCATTAGGCTTTAAAACCTGACATGGGTGTGTCAAAAAAACGTGCAGTGCTGTGGGCCTCCGGGACCAGGATTGAAAACCACTGCACGTGAAAGAGCCTTTAAAAGTTTTACTAAACACATGAATAATTGAATAAGTGCCAAACACCAGAGGGAACACTTCAGAAGACAGTCGCCTTTTATACAGAATTGACTTAAGCTTATACACGGGCAGTTCACTTAGAGAAATTACTTTTAATAAACCTGCCTGTAATCTCACACATTAGCAGCTAAAGCTCATCTTATTGTGAATGGTCCATGGTGACAGGACTATAGAAAGTGCATGTGAAGAACAGGGTGTTGGTGTGTTTTTACCTGGCCTCACAAAACTTCTTGAGAAGCTCGGGTCTGTCTTGATTCCTGCGCCGCCTGAACCAACACTGGACCTGTCGCTCTGTCCATCCCGTCTGCTTGCACAGTTTCTCAACTGAACTCTGGATGGTAAAAACAAAATGATAGCTGTTGTGGTAGTGTGGGGAAATTTGTGATTCATTTACAAGTGCAGAAGTGTACGCACCTGTGGGGGTTTTTTAGTTGTGTTGCAAAAGTAGGACTCCAGTGTTAGGTTGTGTGTAACTCGCCTTCTGACCGTTTCCTTAATGCCCAGCAGAGAGGCTACTGGTGTAGCAACATATCTGAACATACAGGGACAATTTTTTTAATACTTTTATTCTGCAAGGATGCATTAAATTGATAAAAATAAATGTTTTTAAATTTTGTATTTAGGGGGGGGGGGGGGGGGGGGGGGGGGTCTGACAGAGGGAACCACCACGGAGGAGATGATGGAGGGAGGAGCCAGGAAGAAGACGAAGGCTGGAGGGAACATATAGCATAGCCCAGATGAAGGCCCACGGCAGAACTGATGGTGTGAGGAGCCAAGGTGGAGTCAGAAATCCGACCACCAGCGGTGGAGCCAGAAGAGTTGAAAACCTGGGCGGAGCAGAGGAGACACAGAGACCGGGCGACACCATAGGTCCTGGAGGCCGAGGCAAAGCCTCGTCCGAAATATTCGCATATAATAAATACGACCTCACCTCACGTTGTGTCAATCACGTTTACACACTACCTTGGAAACTTTCGTCGGTCATAAAAAATTTTGGATCGGGTTCGATTTTCTGTAGCAAAGAATTTTGAGAGGTGTTTTCGACAATTCAGAGCCACCGAATGATGAATTTGAAAAAACGCATACTAAAATTTCGGACTCAGTGTGCAAGGACCTTAAGGCGGAGCCGGTGGGACTGAGGACCAAGGCGGAGCTAGTGTTACTTTCGTCAACGAAAATTATAATAATAATAATAATTTATTACATTTATATAGCGCTTTTCTCGGGCAGTCAAAGCTTTACATAGAAGGGGGGATCTCCTCAACCACCAGCAATGTGCAGCATCACCTGGATGAGGCGACGGCAGCCATATTGCGCCAGAACGCCCACCACACACCAGCTTACTGGTGGAGAGGAGACAGAGTGATGAAGCCAATGAGTATATATATGGGGATGATTAGGAGGCCATGATGGACAGAGGCCACTGGGCAAATTTGGCCAGGATGCCGGGGTTACACCCCTACTTTTCGAAAGACATCGAAAGGGATTTTTTATGACCACAGAGAGTCAGGACCTCGGTTTAACGTCTCATCCGAAGGACGGTGCTCTTTGACAATAGTGTCCCCGTCACTACACTGGGGCATTAGGACCCACACAGACCACAGGGTGAGCGCCCCCTACTGGCCTCACTAACACCTCTTCCAGCAGCAACCTGGTTTTCCCAGTAGGTCTCCCATCCAGGTACTGACCAGGCTCAGCCCTGCTTAGCTTCAGTGGGCAACCAGTCTTGGGCTACAGGTGGCGCTTTTCCACTACACAGTACCAGCTCGCCTCGGCTCGGCTCGGCTCGACTCGACTCGCCTTTGTTTGGTTTTCCACTGTGTAAAAGTTGTACCTGTACCTGCTTTCGGGTACTTTTTTTCGTACCACCTCCGGCGAGGTTCCAAGCGAGCTGAGGCGAGCTAAGCCGATACTAAAATGTGACGTGAAAACAATACCGACTGCTGATTGGTCACAGAGAATCTGCGTCATCATTGCACGCGCCAGATGGAGTATTTTAAATAGTTTGGCCAGAGATAGTTACTAAACTTACTACTATTATTATGGCAACTCGGAAGAATACGCCGTGGTCAAACGAGGAGGTGCAGACATTCCTTTGTTTGGTTGCCGAAGAGAGGATCCAGCGAGAGCTTGATGGGGCAACGAGGAACGAAATGCGTCGCTATGACGACCGGGTACTATTTGTGGCGGTACTTTCTGCAATGGAAAACGGAGCGAAAAGCGAGCCGAGTCGAGGCGAGCCAAGGCGAGTCGAGTCGAGTCGAGCTGGTACTGGTAATGGAAAAGCGCCAAGGGTGTTATGGCTGCTGGCTATGACTAAAGCTATTATGACTAAATATCGTCGTCAACGAACCTTTATCACATGACGAAAACGAGACAAGACGCAAGACGCAACGTAAATGCTGGTCATGTGACGATGACTATAAATGTATAATGCAATATTGTTGACGAATAAAAATGAGACTAAATGTGGTTTACAAAATAAAAACTATGCTAAAATGTCTCTTCATTTTCGTTGACCAAAACGAGACGAGACGAAATGTTATAACGTTATTTCGTCTCGTTTAGTCGCGTTATTATTACTATTTTGCACTATTTCTGTTTCCTGTGTCTCACTTCAGGGGCGAAATCAAGTCGCACTGCGCAGACGCAGGTGACGTCACTTCCTCAAGCCCCGCTCACAGCATTATTTAGAAGATGCAGCTGCGGTGAGTTAGTTAAGTTAACAAACAAAGTTAAGTCTGACACAGAGAAAGGGACCAATGGCCGGCCAGCCGGGGTTCGTCTTTGGGAGAAAAAGAAGAAACGACATTTTGGAAAAACTTTCATTACATAGAAGTGGAAAAGAAAATGGAATGTATTTTGTGGCGGTGAAAAGTGGCGGGCTAATGCTCCAGGTCTGTAGTGGGCTCTAGGTCCGTGGAGGATTTGGGATATTGCCAGGGGAGGACTGGAATAGACAAATGCAATCGGGAAAGGGGGTGGATAGTCTCGAGCACGTTCCTCGTTCATTTCCTCCACAACAAAATCAGAACCATCCAGCCACAGAACATAATTGGTGCACTGGGCTACTGATGTGCTATCATTTCCCGGCAATAGGAAGACATACAGATGGTTATCCAGCCCTAAAACATACTTTGAGTATGTGTCTCCTCCAAAAATTCCTCCACGTACCTTTCCAGGGGTCAACCATTTTGACCATTTAAATTGTAATAATTTTTTACAATATTCCTGTTTTTGCTGTATTTTCTTCAAATAAATGCAGCCATGGTGAGCATCTTTCAAAAAAAAAAAAAATCGTACCCACTCTAAACCTTTGAATGGTAGAGTAGTATCTGCGTATAGATCATTTTATTATCCATATTTATCGTCTATGGACCATTGTAGTATGTATTCCATTTATTGTACTTTCTTTTACAGGCCTGTTTTATTTATTTCATGCACTGTTTTCTTGTTTTTTGGACTGTGTATTTTAAATGACATTGCTCTTTTGAAATGAATTGGTAAATTTGACCCTTTGAACCCTTATTTGATTATTAGTTAGAATTTTAGAGAGCTGCTTCACAGATGATATATTTCTGTGTATTATAGTGCATTGATTCTAATTCAGCCTCTTATTCCTTATCTTTGATACTCACAGTAATAAAAAAGAATTACATGATAAATGAGAAAGAAAACGAGATGAAAGCAAAGACAGCTTAGGATAAGAGAGAGAGAGAGAGAGGGGTGGGAGAGTAAAACGAAGGGAGTGACGCAGGGAGAGAAGACATAAAAGAAAAAGCATGTCGACAGAAATAGAACTGAAGACCTATTTATAAGCATGCCAGACAGAGGCCGAGAGAGAAAGAGCTTATCAAATATCAGACAAAGAGGAAAAACTGAAAAACTCTCAGACGTGGAGGGTATACAGTTAAACAGAGAGGAAAGGAAAGATGAGTGTAGTGATGTAGCTTTGAACCCACCTCTCAAAGACTGGTCGAACAGCCATAAACAGGACGGCGATTGGCAATGCCACCCACAAATCCCGTGCCTTCGCATAGACCCGCCCATCACGGTCCTCCAGGTCAGCCCATCCCAAACCCTCTGGGAACCACAGACGCTCCTGCCAGAACACTTCACTCATCCACTGCAACATACTGCTGTACAGAAAGACACAAAGATGATGATGAGTCTATCTGTACGTTTGTCTGTCTGTCCTTCCATCCAATTATCCATCCATCCATCCATCCATTAAAAAACGGTCTCGGAAAAAGTGGGGCCTTAGTGTCAAAATCCCTGCTCTAGATATGGCTCAGGTCTCTGTGGGACCTTTTTCACCCATTTTTTGCTACAGCAAGTGAAAATGGAGCATTTGTGTCTGGAGCAGAAACACTGCAGGACGACAAACACAAGAAAAATATCAGTGTCGCCTTAAGCCCCTTTCACACAGAGATTCCGGAAAATACACGGATAAAGTGACCCGGGGTTTGACCCGGGTTCGTTTGATTTTGCTTCATTCACACTGCCAGTGATTTGCCGGAATCAGAGAGCGCGTTCACAAACAACCCGTGTATGTTCCGGAAAGACGCGTGACGTTGGATGTGACGGGTCTCTACTTCAGTCCAGTTTGCAGACATTTTTCCGTTCTTTCTTGTATCGATGACGAACACAAACTTTCTTCTAGAGTAACTGAGTCGCACGATAACTACGTCATTGCAAAGGCTCGTGAATCCTCACTACGACACACCCCTTATACGGCATTGGTTCTGGCTTTTGTTCACACAGCGCGCGTTCCGGGTCTGAACACGGCAATGTTACTAGGTCCGCAACCCGGCATCGATCCCGGCATCAATCCCGGGTCGTGCTTGCGTTCACACAGAAGGCACTCTGGCAATTTGCCGGGTTCAAAGCGCTGTGTGAAAGGGGCTTTAGCAAACACAACTGTGTTATAAAATCTGATATGGGTACATGTACTGGGCCATGTTAAACAGTGACATAACATAAATTCATACAAAGCTGTTTTAAAACATCTTTTAACCATTTAGCTGCTCACAGATGTTTTTGACTCCTAGACAACTACTATACTGATGGATTTACACTCGACTTACACAGATCATGACAGATCACAGGCCTCAAGTGGGTGGAGTGACTGGTTAAGTTACAACCTCAGAACAGACCACAGTTGATCTAGATAACCTAAATGTTAAGTTAGAATGGTTATTTTTGTCATTTTAAATAGGACGAGCATGTGTGCTGTATGACATTACAGGGCAGGGGTCTTGAAATCAGACTGAGGCAGATGTGATGTGATTTGTGTGATCCGCCCAGATGTGATGTGGTGGTGATGACTGGTGGCCTAATTATTACTAGCGCTTGCTGGAAACATGTCCAAAGGGGGAAACTCTATTTATTCACTCACACTGTTTTTTTTTTTTTCCAATCAATTGTACTGACCAAATTCAAACATGTGAATGTGTGATTTCTGCCAGTGCTTTTGTTTTTACAATAAGCATGCAGCTGAATTTTCAAAGTTACATTTAAAATCCACTGTGCTTCTGAATGAACATGATGCTTCTAACTATTACTCATATTAAGGGTTAAGAATTTTTCACAAGCTCAAATAGAAAGTTTTAAAGTTCAGTGTGTGCGTCATCCTGCAGCGTTTGTGCTCCAGACATGATCAATCCTCACATCAAACGGCTACAGTCTGAGCTTCAGCCACAGACTAGGTTAACCTGTTAACTGTCACCCCCCTTTTTTTTGCATAGACATAAAAATCACTATCCAAACTTAAATGGTTGTAATTCAGGAATGCTTTGGAATATAGACCTATGGCTGGTCTTGTTTTAAAGAAGACATTTTCCAGATTATTGTAGAAGTCTAGAAATGATAAAAAATGAAACAGAAAAAAAGTTATATAAGTTTGAGTTTATGAAATTGTGTAATGTAAAAATATAATTATTAGTGAAACCAAGCCATAGTCAAATTAAAAACTAAAACTGTGAAACTACATGGTGAGTGACTGTACATTTAATGTTTTACGTATGCCAGGGCTAAGCCTACATCTGCACTCAATGGCTTTACAACACAGAGAACTAAGATGGAGAACACAGAGTGGAAGGATGTGGTCAGTCACTGATGCAACTGACTGAAGCACTGGAAGATTGTAAAAGACGTAGCACGGGAGGATTCGTTGTTTCTGAAAACACAAAACTTTGCAGGTTTGAAGTGTCATAGTAACAGACCACTCAGGCAGGAAAATGCTGCCGGACCAACGCATTCAAAAACAACCTATCTCACACATACATGATATAATAGTGCAGCAGTTTATGGGAAGGATTACACAGTCGACAGCAAAGAAATGATTGGGAAATGTGCATTTGTAGTCCGAATGAGGAAATATCTCAGCAGCAAATGAAGTACTTGATGACATATGGCAATCGCATAAATTAGTACTTCCTTAAGAAATAAGTTGTACATATACAAATCACAGTTCGCTTTACTAATTTAAACAATGTAATAATATAAGGCAGAAGCAATGAGCTCATTGAAGTAATGAATACTTGTTTGTTAACAAAAATGATTATGACATAGAAAATTGTAGCATTGGTGCATGTTGATTCAGAGTTTGCGTCATCTGAATTCCTTGCAGGAGTTGGCGCCGTCTAATAGATTGATGAAATCTGTGAATCTGACCATCTGATGCATATTGCACAAATAAACTGAAAAGCATCATTTGGGAACTTCTGAAATTTGGGGTCCACAGGTTTTAACCAGACCAGGAATATATTTTAGTTTACCGCAAATGCTTGTCAGTACATTTGGCAGTACCATATTTCAAAGAAGATTTAAGTATTGTATCTATCAATATCATTTAAAGGCACAATATGTACGATTTTTTCACCACAAGAGGGCGCAGTTTCCAACAATAACAAAGGCGTAGGTTGATGACGCAGTGATGAGCTGAATGATGGGACTTGCTGTCAAGCTGATGGATCTAATAATGTTTATGGATGAGTGCAAACATTCATGTTTTTTAACATTACAGTGGTATGAAGCAGGTCGCGATTGCTAAAGAGACAGATATCACACGCGAGTCCCGCGGATATAAAGGAATAAGGGCATTTAATTCTACCGAACTACCTTGCGCAGTGCTGGATTACTCACATAGGTCAGTTTATTAGACGAATTAAACTTGTGAGGTAACGCAGCGCTGCTTCACTTGGTCTAACGTTACACTATCACACTAGACGGCATTTAAATGTGTGTTGAAAGTTATAATGTTATACTACGTGTTAGTTCGTTTGCTATACGAAACTAGCAGTAAGCTAGATCAACATTAGAATAACATACTGACCATATTCTAACATTTCATCAAGTTGAGCTAACGTTATATAACATTGATTTGTTTTATGTACATTTGCTCACCTGTCTAATGTCAAGTCGTGACTCGTTAAGCTCTGTCAAGTCCAATATATTGACCCTCATTTTAGTTCTCCTTGTTTGTCCCAAAGTCTGCTTGCCATGGTCTATGTTTGAAAGAAACAAGAACTGCGTGCCGCTAAACGCTACGCACTACGCAGTTGTCCACGTCTGTCGCCATGGTTACGTCATGGCTATGGCAGTATGAACGGAAACCGAGGAGAGCGCGGATATTGCGTCATTGACAGGTGACATTTTTTCCCGGGACGGCCACTTATTTACAATTGGAATTTCTCTGAAAAAATAAAATCTTTGGAGACTTTTGGGATATTGTAAGTACACAACTGCAGGAAAATATATCACATTGTGCAAGTGATTTTTGGATATTTTATTACAACATTCTTACATATTGTACCTTTAATTACATATAGGCCTGGTTTCAGGATTAGGCATTAGGATATTTAAATAGCTTTTATAAAAGTACCTTAGAAAAAAACATATTTTAAGATATGCCAGTGCAAGTTGCTTTCAGTTAAAACAGCTCAAACATGCATTTTGGTCTGGGACTAGACTTAGGCTGTCTGCGAAACCGGTGGATAAAGATTAACTTAAGTGTGATTTTTTGGTTTTTTACCTACTCAAGTTTGCACTTAAGTATATTCTTTTAGTCCACTTAAACCCCGTCACTTTCTTACAATCGACCGCAAGCTCTTATTCGTTTTTGAGTGCCACACCCACATTCCAAAAACTAATCAACAACCAATGGAATCAATCAAGGAGGTTTTAAAGCATTGTCTATTTTTGATGGACATTATCAATCACCAGAGCAGTAAACGACATGTGACTGATCACTCTATACTAGAGCTCCAAGTGCCGTACAGCTAGTGAAGTGCGCAGAGACACTGATCTGTGTTTCGCTGAGAGTGTTTCCTCTCGCTGACCCCTCTGAGAGGGCAAGCTCAACCAGATGTGGCCTTCATTGTTATTCTCCACTCACACAATCCATCACAGAAAAATAACACGACACCATTCAGGAGATGAGGAATGCATTCACAGAATTCAGACAAACGTGATGGGATTAAACATAATTCATTCATTTAAGAAAATTAGTCTTGAATTGTTAATGAGTTTCCAAATGTTTGGTCAAACTGCTAGAACAGACACATAAAGGAAAAAAGCTTGTCAAAGAATCCACCCGGTTTAGGTGAGTATAGGGCAAGTGCTCATTTAAAGGGATACTCCACTTTTTTTGGAAATAGGCTCATTTTACAACTCCCCCAGAGTTAAACTGTTGAGTTTTACCGTTTTTGAATCCATTCAGCCGATCTCCGGTTCTGGCGGTACCACTTTTAGCATAGCTTAGCATACATCATTGAAGTGGACAAGACCATTAGCATTTCTAAAAAAAAATGACCAAAGAGTTTCGATATTTTTCCTATTTAAAACTTGACTCTTCTGTAGTTACATCGTGCACTAAGACCGACGGAAAATGTAAAGTTGCGATTTTCTAGGCTGATATGGCTAGGAACTATACTCTCATTCCTGCGTAATAATCAAGAAACGTTACTGCCGTACCATGAGTGCAGCAGGCGTAATGATATGACGCAGCGCCTGAAAATAGGCCACCTTCCGTCAACACAACGGAACTATTTTCAGGCGCTGCGTCATATCATTACATATCATATCGTTTACACCTGGTATTTAAGATGCGTTTTTGGTCGATCGGATCACAAGTAGA